AAAGTTATCAAAGTAAAAGTCAAGATTAATATTATCGAAGTAATACAAGATAAAGGAAAACGGTCAGTGAATTAATATTAGTACATTGTCTTGATTTATATCGTTATCAATGGAAACTTTTTTGCTCGATGACAATGTTATTTTTTTTTTTCCTCAATAACAATTGGTTTACTTTTAAACAACGGTACTATGGTACTAATTGTTTTTCTATTAATGTTTTCTTCTGAGTCATATAAATCTAGGCAGGTGTTGACTTTTACAGCCCGATATGCTTAATGAGTACTTAGTTATGCTATTTAAAAGGAAGCTCATTATAGAGCATAAGGAATATTACTACTAATCGTTTCAATGGTTTTTTTATTGGCTTTCATTCGCTTAAATTATTAAAAATGTCGCATACATTTTCAGTAATAAAAAAAGTCGTTTTGGAATGATTCACAACCTGCGAGTAAATAATTTATTTATTTGTAATTTGAGATAGTGAGCCGATTCTTGGTAATAATTAAAAAATATACTTATCTAAAATTTATATATAATCCTTGTTTCATCATCTGCTAAGATTTTAGTTCCACTTCTAATTTACCTTGTTAAGTGTCACGGTGACCCCGAATTCAAATTATGGGAACAAGTAATTTCGTGTATGAAAAGTATATATGACGTGCGTCAGTAATGTAACACCTACGCGGTATGTTTCTTCGGAGAAACGAACTGTACCAACGCCATCGTACCGACAGCCTTCTGCCCCAATTATGTTAACACTGATAACGGGATTTGCACTTGGAAAATTCCCATCAGCGGTAACCGGGCCTCCACGCTCGTGATTGCCTCCAGGGCTAGGATCTCTATTGGTGAGATGATGCCGCTCGCCATATAGACTGCCGTATACTTTTTATTATATATTCTATTGAGTTTATTTTCTCCAATTAAACTTTTTTATTAAATAAACTATCACATTCTGTACCAGATAATTCATATTAAACGAAATTGTGTTAGGACGTACATATATCGAATTACGCGTTGAAACAAATCCTTTATGCTTTTGTCAGGATTAAAGGCTACGAGATATGTGAGTCAGTTGTTGAGGATCTTTGTTGTTCTTCTCGGAAGAACATCGGATATGTGTTCGTGGGAAAGGTATTTTAATGCAGGTCGACGGACTGATTTCTCCTGTCCCGGTTAACGTCGACACAGACGTAATTAAAAACACCGTCTCACAATACATCTGTACACCAAAACCATATTAGAATGATTTATAAAGGACACCTTATACAATGCTTGGAATCAAACGGCTGAACAAAAGTGGCGGGACTTCGCCGTAACAAAACAAAGACGTTACAAGCATTTAGTATTTAAAACATCACTAGAGAATATTTTCATTAATAGTTAACAGTGTTATGTTTTTGTGTATGTGTGTGTATGTGTAATGATGATGATGACACGGTAGTAAGTAGTTTTTAAGTCAGCGTATGACCAATTTTGACCTCGATGATTAATGAGACCCGTTAGTCCTAAGTCAGTTATTATTGTGTAAAATTTTGAAAGACACGAACATCACCGCCTCGTACTAATTTGTCATAATTAACGAGAAATGTACATATGTACCGGAGATGCTGTTACCGTTTGATATTAATGTGAGATCACTCCACTTCCACTTACATTAAGGTTTTTGATCTAGTAACGCTTCATGTATAATTTTACTATTATACTGCTGAAGGAAAATGAAGTCTTCTTGGATAGCTTTTGAATTGGAATCGAGAACATATTCCCAGGAAATCCATTCGGAGGTGCTATTTTGATAAATTGTTTAGATTGTGTTGGTCTTGTAGCTGTCAGATCAGGTTTCTGTGGGAGCACCATTTACGGCATAGGATTAATTCACCGTGGCCATTGCTTGAATCACGGATACGCTTTGAAATATTTTAACGATTGGCTATTATATGTGTCTGTATTTTTTTTTTATTATTTCAATACAATCGTGTTGCTACATAGATAGTTTGACTTCCTTTTTGAACACTTAAATGTTAGATGACCTAAACAGATAATGTTCCGCGTTTTAAATTATATATCGTACTAATTGTTACATTATAGTTTAAAATAGTTTAATTCGTCTATATTCTCTAAGTCGTAAGATAATTTCGTAAAACTGTATGTAATGTGAGCTGATGTTGAATTTGAAACCTAGATTGTGTTTTGTAGAGCGGGGAAATTAAAGTTGTTTTTTTATTATTTTTCAAACTGTCAACTTCCAATTTCTTAAGAGACATAGACAATGATGTGAAGCAATGGCTCGGTAGAGTGACGACCGATTTTTCTTTCGTTCGTCAGACTAGGCGATTTAGTGTTATTTACCATTTGGGTCATTGGACCTTGCCGTTGGACGACTGTCCGCTACTACCGATGACAATATATATTTTTTTGCTAGTTTATTACAATTACATTGTCTGTCGGTCAGTCCGTGCGCTACTGAATCACCGTTTAGCTCATTGTAAAAACATTAAAACTTACCATACATAATTATATCCGGTGTTTTCTATCTGAAATACTAACGGAAAAATATCTAACGGGATCCAATGTAGTTTTTACCTATTATTATTAAAAAAAGAAAGGTTTTAATGGTCTTTTATGTTGAAAGAAACGAGATTGCAATAAACTTTGAATTATATTAACTTATAACCAATACAGTTTTACACATATGTATTTTTTATATATTCTTAACTTTCTTGAACAAGAAGTAACTTGTCCGTGAATCCAAATGGTACAAAAAGGTTAGTCTCTTAGCAGTGATTAAAGTGTTAGTGGCGAATAATAATTGGCAGTGACATAGATAGCTGTGCTGTATTAGCAATATGTTATAACGTTCATATATAGACATGTTGTTTTGTTTCACACAAGTTTATAAATATTTAACCAACGGGCCGTTTTAATGTCGGAACGTATAGAGATATCAAATCATTCCTGTAACATTGTCTTATTATGAAAAAATATATAATTATATAAAAATATGTTATATCTTCTTCTTCTACCTGGCAATATCGAAGCTTTAGCCAGGTTCTGCCCTACATGTTGTGAATAGTTTTGGTTAATTGTTTTTACGACCGGCCGCCTGCCTGACATCAACCCTCTTTTGGGAATGCATTAATCAGTGATGTCTAAACACTGTTATAAAGTACATATGACTCGGAAAAATCACATTGGCACTTGCCAGGATCGAACCCTTACCCTCATGCATGAGAGGCGGGCCTTTTAACCATTAGGCCACCACTGACTTATATAAAAATATGTTATATGTGTTGAACGAATTATATTTCCTAACAAACTCACTTTTACCAGGTATATACTCTTAATTTGTTATTAAGAGTATGACATGTAATTATTTCCTAGTCATTCTGATTTTGTTTATATATTTTCTATGGAATTAAACACACGCATACGATATTATCGGCTCATAATGAATAATACATATGAAATATTTTTTCCTTATTTTTTTATGTATAAGGGAATATTTTTTTCCGTGTTCAGGAAATAACCAATTGATTATAATACGAATTTTATGAATGAGTAAAACGTCATAATGTTCTGAGAACGAAAGGATTCCAATCGAAAGGATTTTTTATTAATTTCGCTCAGCGGCCCGGTTGTCTTTATTAATTGAGAACTGTTGTTTCTTGGTAACAGTACGTAGGTAGTCATTATTTATACCGCTGCTATCAATTTATAAGTTTTCTTTATATACTTTCGACTTTCACTCGTTTTAGGAACTCTATACTTGTCCCATTATGTTATACGCCCTCCATCATCTTGTATCATATCATTAAATGTAGTTTGATGATGATTTTAACGACATCAATTATGGGAGGATCGTCCTAGTTTCGTTTCTATAATTTTGTGACTCATTTTTTGGTAATTGTCTTTGTATTCGAACATAGTTTTCGTAGACTTGATGTCATATAAGATTTATTAATACATAAGTACTCCAAATTTCCCCAACAAATATAATTAGTTGTAAATTAACCACATCGTATTTCCTACAAAGTGGTCATGTTTCCGTAAAATCTCGACGGATTTCGTTTACCCGTGGTATTTTATGTTTTTAATTGTCTAGGAAATGTCAATAAATTATTTAAATGAAGTCGTTTTGTTTTTTTTAAACATACGTGTATATAATATTTGACAAGTAATTTAATAATGGATTCGTTATTGGCCTATACATAATATTTTAAGTAAATTAAGTTACACACACTATGTACCATGAGTTTTTGAATCTACGTCTTCTTTCGTCTAGTATCTGATAATCTATTTAATGTTTAGTTTGACAATGATAACTTTTAGTAAGGATAAAGTGTAGTAGTATTTTTGACGTTTTTTAATACAATTAATAATTAATGTCGTAATTATGCTCTACTTTGAATTTATTTTAAGAGTGCCTAAGTGCTTTAATAACTTTAATACGTTGTTATTTTCGACACCGAACTTACTTTCTATATTTATTTGGCATATTTAAATGATAAAGTAATTTATAAGGGATTTACATAATATATTAAAATACATAATTATTTATTATTATATTGTATTCTTTTTGTTTCAGGTAAAAACACGTGACATGTTATAATACTTGTGCAAAGAAATGTCTGCGGTGAGGACTAACTTATATGATTATTTGTTATTGATATAAATGTTCTATTATTAAATGCTCTCGCTAGTTTCGAGACACGTCTAAATTATGCGAAATATATTTAACTTTCTTTTATCCTGACACTTAAAAATCGTGTGTCGAAAATATATACGTCAATATGAAAACAAAGATATGTTCATGCATACGTCTGTAGGTTATATTATATTCGATAAGTTAGTTTAGTTTTAGATAGGTGCTTCTAAATGCAATACGAGAAATAGGTTTCAGTGAGTGCTTTGATTGTGCGAGTAGAGCAATAGTGTAGGATATGAGAACACGGTGCGAGTCGTTGCACGGTTTAGTTGGCGAAGGTCAGTGCTCGTGCGTTTTAGTCGTTGCTGCTACGTGTTAGAGTAACAAGTCGTGTGGCTGGTGAGAGGCGGCGGTGGGGTCCTCGCTGGCGGCCGGCGAGCCTCCCTTGAGTTAGTTCAGTCGCAGCGGTGCACGCACACCGCACGCAGTTCTCGCGCGAGCAACGAGAAGGTACACCCTCACACTCACATTGACACGGACGGATACAAACACACACACACACACACGCACGCATGCACCCAGCTTCCGGTGACTGCTCTCGTTTAATGATTCGTCGCATTATCTTACACGTATTTGGATAACGAATGTTTGTTGTCAACAGTTCGGTACGTTGCAACAGGTTGCAGTCGATGTTAAACGTGTTGTCTGTGTGTGTGTGTTTTAATTATATATTTTTTGGTGCAGTGATTATATTTTAAAGTGCCGTTAGTATTAACGAGGAGCATGGAAATGTGTTTAATAGATGAAGTGCAAGATGTTAACACCCCAATATAATTTGTTAATTGTTACTTTATGACTATACAAATACAGATTGTGCCGTTATCTTTAACATACATTTAATAATATAAACAACAAGTGTTGGCCTTCAATTGTATCAATTAAACTCTATTTCTTATTATTTTATTATGATTCTTAATAATTGTTTCTAAAGTTCATTAAAGTTTGATTGTCTGTCAATGGTTGGCATTGTATTCAGTTTGTATAGTTGGCCCAGAAAACATGTTTGTATCAAGCTAGTTGTCGCGGCCACACATCAGAAGCGGGACATGCGAGGATGTGTCGGTCGCGGGCCATATTGCAGACCAGACACTGGCCATATTTGGGACGCCATCAAGGCGACACTTGTTGCACTTATACGGCATACTTGCTCCATATAACAGTCTAAAGTATGAGCAACCTCTTATCATTATCGAAGACATTTTAATATAATATATTGCATCGGTTCAAACTTCAAACTATTAAGTCATCCGTTTTAGTAATCAGTTCGTAATGATGTATGCGTCGATGACGCTATGAGACCATTGCTGCATAAGAGATAAGGCATAGCCTTTCACGATTATGCAAGCTGTATAGGAACAAACGGGGCGGTTCGATGACCAGTGCGTTGTCCCGCCACGCCGCCGCCCACCGCGAAGGTCGCTTCCCACACTCGTATTCCATACTAAAACAAGTAAAACACTAAAACACCGTCACGGTTACGGAAGCGCCGCCACCGGCACCGGCACCGGCGTCAAGGGTCTACGACTCGCACTTTTATTTACATACATTAAACACATTCACATGTTCCGTTTATCTACGCAGGTAATATCGATATGTGTTCAGTGAGCTCGTTAATGAAACTAGTTTTGTTGTGAACAAATAAGTTATTTATAACATTAAAGTGGAAATTTTGATCTCAATATGGTGACTTCGAGAATACCGGCTTATTCTCTGAATTCGGAGTTCAACCGGGAGTTCAGAAGTTTCCGCATAACGCGAGCCACACCGCGCTCGACACTGTACGCGCCGGCCATCGTGCCCATACACGAGTACCCCAGGGTCAGCGTGCACGAGAGAAGAGAGGCGCTGAAGGCGGCGCTGGCGAAGGCTTGGTCCTCGAAGAGCAGCGACAAGAAGAAACATGACACGTGGACTGTGCCGAACGAGCAAAGCAGGGCTGGGATCACAGCTGCTGATTTTGCTATGAAGACACAGTACAAGAGTAACACGAAAGGCGAAGAAGTATCTCGAGTAGCATTAGTGAAACATGAGTTTGAGAGCAAGGACTCGGAGCGCACACAAAAACTAGATAGCAAAATGGATAACTGCCAACCGGCCAGCTTCACTTACGGCCGGTTTAATGGCAGCGGCGTCGACATACAGGAGACGCTCAAGAGGAATTGTGATAAAGGACTACACAGTGACAACAGCTATAACGAATACCTCAATGTTCCTAAATGTAACGGCAGCTTTGAAAACAGTTTCCTCAAACAAAACTTAGAGGAACATTATAGCAAACGCAACGGGTACGATATCACAGCCAAACGTCTAGAGAGAGACATCAATTTAAATAACGTCGAATATAGTAGCCTGAATGGCGACTCGTATGAAACAAAGTATCGGGTCGCGAGCGCAACGGAATCGTTGCAATATAAAAGTTACGGTAAAGGCGAAACCGTTAAGAGCAAATTACTGAGCGTGGACGGTCCGAAGACTGTGGCGTCTTGCAACGGAGAGAAGATGAACGGTTTCAACGGCAAGGAGCACCAGCGACCTCTGACCAGCGGACCCAAGTCAGTGGTGGAACAGAGGCTGGCCGAGCGACTGGAAGTGAAGGTCGCCGAGCTACCCGCTCTGTACCTAGGAGTGGATTCATGGACGCCCAAATCAGCCGCTTTCCAGAAGAGTATGCGCGAACACGAGTGGAGCGTATCGTATGTACTGAACATATAACACCTGACTAACACTTTCCCACTTCCCCACATCACCGGACGAGTCAGGGTGTGTGCGGGAGCACTGGTCTTATTAGAGGAAATTGAACTTATTTATGTAGCTAAAGCCGCGCGCGTCTCGCTCCACACAAATAGAAAAAAAATAAGTAAACCTGTCGGCCTCATTGCGGGGAGTGCATCGACTTTGCCACTAGGTTGGAGTGCACTGCGTTAGTGCCATCAGAGAGCTATATTACTATCTCGTTTTGCAAAAATACGTACACTAGATAGGCTCTGACTTCTGTTATGGAAACATGATATTTAAATGTAAATTAATATTAATTAATATACTTTTTATGGTTAGGACTAAGATAAAAGTAATTTATTATGAGTTTTAAAATAATCTGGTTTTTATACGTGGCACTCCTCATCTTTACGAGACTTTCTATGAAACATATTTTTCAAGTTTTTTCTTCTCGGCCATATACATATACGTACTTATATACATATACATATATGTTTACACGGTCAAAGTTATATCATGATCATATAATATGATAATATATATTTTAAACGTATACCATAATAAGACTAATTGTAATGCCGTACACAATTCAGTAGATATTAAGCCAGAATTCTCGTCTCCGTGGGCGCTGTGGCAGCTATAACTTGAGAGATTCGTCGCGATAGCATTTTAGTGAATGTTTCAAGGTCCCGTCCTGCTTTGTACGCTCGCTAAGGATTTGTCAACCTGGTTAAAGCGAAATGACGTCACTTATTATTTAATAATAGCAAATATTATCATTATATGTTTTAAAAACGCTCAGAATCCAAACGCAGTAAGTAGTAGCTAATATAATTTCTCTAAGGGTGACGTATAATTTCCTACAAGAGAGAAAGTGCTTTTGCTGTTTGTGCGGTTGAAATTGGTGACTTCCTATGTAAAGTTCCTATTGAGTTTCTATTATTTTTATATGAAAGTTTTCTATGTAATTAGGGAAAGATAAAACAAACATCAATCATTGAGATAAAAATGTAGTCGGTATGAGTCATGACAAGTTATAGCTAATATTCTTCAAATGACCGAGTGACGATGCTAAAAAGAAAGTTGGGTTTTTAAAATAACATCAGCGTATTTTTTTAATGTAAAACGAACAATGAGTCGAGACTAGTTATTTCATTAATTAGAGCCGTCAAATAAAAGTTTACAAATTATTTTTAAACCAACTTTGATACAGAATTTTTCAAAGCATATTTGTAGAAAATGTATTGGTTGTTGTTTATTATGAAACTTTTTTTTTGCTTTTGTCGAATTAGCCGATGTTTTATTAATGAATATACAACCTTAATATATTATGAAAAAATCGAGAATAATACAAATAAATTTATTCTCTCGAAAGATATGTTTCATACAAATTTATTTCATATTTAATTTAAATAATTTCATATTCAATATTATTGGGAGTCTGAAATAAATCTTTTTCTATTAAATAAGTTTCTGTCCTTTAATCATACTCTTACAATTACTAACAAGCAACAACATAAATTTATATTATCGAGTTTATATCACTTTTGTTTACTTGAACAGGAGCTAAGCCTCGTTTCTCGTTACAAACGTTTTAAAACCCTACTTTGTATAAGACACTGGTTGTCAACAGTACGCAGTGCAATCAACTTTCACTGCAACCGTACGAACGGATCAGGGACTGTAGTCTGTACTAATACTTGTGAGCTTATTTCCTACTAACACCGCTCTAAACAGACGACGTTTAAAAGAAATATAAAAATGTTTTAATATATTATTATTATTATTAAAAAAGCTTTATTTAAAATAGTTTAACGTGATGTATAGAATGTTTAAGTGATCGTCGACCGATCATTATTTTGGTTAATGCCAGTGAGAGCCTCGTAGTTGTCATTGACCCGAGCGAGCGCGGGCGGGCGATTAGTCTCGCTGCAGTGTTGACACGGTTCACAGTAATCTCTCACCCGGCGTGACCTTGTCCATCTATCACGATATTAATACAATACTTCATTTAACACCAACATTAAAGGGAGACGTCCTCTCCCATTATAAAACACTGCTGTCTATACCATCCTTGACCGGTTAGTTTCGCATCGGGGACCCTGGCTTTCGATTTCGTAACAAAACCTCACAGCAACGGCCGAGATCGATTATGGTCATTGTGACAAAAACTCTTTGCTCTCGACGCAATCTGACCTTTACATTGTATTTTTAAACCATTATGGCGCCACTCGTATTAAATATCAACGGGTTAAAACCTGTAACGGTTACAATGTCTTAACTTAATCCTATATTATGAAATGAGGAAGTGTACCGATGGCACTGCAAATATAGTACGGATGATTCAATAGGAGTGTGTTATAACTGGATACACGTGCTCAATACATCTAAATAAAGAACCCTTGTACGTATCATAAAGTACTTTGTCTGAACGTTGACCGGCTTGTGGTTCAATATTACACGTAGCCGTATTTGATTAATTTCCTTAATGGATACAGCAGCTCGATGCTTTTAAGGAACGATAAATCACTCTAGACTAATGTCATATTATGGTAAGATTTCACGAAACGGTATTCTCTCCTTTTGATAAATATTTCGACACTTAAAAACGAGAAATAAATAAAATAATGTCGTTTTAATGGTTTTACGATTATTTGCCTCAAGACGATGTTTGTTTAAGTTTCTTAAAAGTTATAAAAAAACGAAACACGTCATAATCAAAATTCGGCGAATATTGAAAAGTGGCGAAAGTAAAAAAAGTAACACAAATTAGATAATAAAAGCGTTGTTGAACAAGAAAAACGGGTTCAATCACTTTCTTTATTTCTACAAATATTGACTTGCGAGTTATCACTTGGCAGCTAAATGGACGTTTAACAGAAGCTCGAGTTACCGAATAAAGGAAATGAAAAAATACAATAGGATTTCGATATTACTTTTGTTGAATTAAATGATTACAGCATTTGAACATTGACACGGACAGTCCATAACTCTATTGTTACACAAGATTGTTTTATACAAATGAAATGAATGGAACATATTTCAATATATTTCTATTTAATTTTAAATCTTATCAATACATTATTATAAAGAAATTCTCCTTCTAATAGATATTTCATTCCGAAAAGATATCGTCATTATTTTTGTATTTAATTCATTTAAATTTAAAGTAAAAACAGAATCCTTAATTATTTTGTAAGAGAGTAACATTCTCTATGAGTTATTGTTTCTAATTAATATGTTTGTTTGACCCTTTTAATATGTAAATAAAGTCAATAAATTTCGTCAGTTTTCTAATCCTTGTATTATCATATAGAAATTTTACATCGTGTTGTGTAAATGCATGTAACATTAGGGGCTCGATAGAATTTTAATATTCGTCGGTCGAAAGCGAATGTACAGGCATTTGGTATTCAGGTAGTGTAGTGTGTGACGCGTGATAGTGGCTTTGTTGGACACTACTGACTGCAGACTACTGACTACACCATCCCTCGCACGGACACTACGAACATGTCACAAACATTTATTATATAAAGCAATCAAATATTTTACAATACATTACACAACTAACTACAGACCGTACTACATAACTGCCATATCATAATTCATAGATAAAAACTTGACAAATTATATTTTCCAGGGTTTGATTACCAATTAACATTAGTAGTGAAAGTTTATATAATAAGATGGAAATTGAAATTTTATATGAATTTTATGTAAATAGTCTAAAAATGAAAGTAGCTAAAACATACAATGACTATAATTACTTTAGATTTGATTTTGTAATGTTAATATCTCAACTAGTCTACTTTTACGACATGCATTAACTCGTCGAATAAAAATTAGATGGCGCTGTTACTAAAATAAATATTTGCTTTACATATTAAAGCTATATAGTATATTACAAAAGTTATATATTATATTCATATAATAGTCATTTTAATAGTTTGTACGCATTCAGAGCTATTGTGATAGACGATGAAACTTCCTCTCGTGAAGTTTGCCCGTGTTTTCCTATTATTAAAACATGTCACCCGCTGTCTGTGTTTGTCCCGCTTGTTGGTTTTATGATAAAACTGTTTTGTATATATAGGTTATACATAACATAATTATGAGGCGTTATACATATAAATTATCCTCAAATTCAATTGATAGTTTACAAAGAATTTTGAAGGCGCTTTCGTTTTCTATAATACTTTTTTTGGAAATTATGTATTAATATTATACTTTCTGATTTTATTGCTACTATATTTCACGATTTTTAAATTTGCTATAGAAAGTAAAAGTGTATTGAATGAATAAACAATATTATATGTATAAAGTTTTGTGCAAATTTTCTATAGCAAAATACTGTGAGAGGTTTATGTAACAGTCGTTCACGTCCAAGGTCTGCGAGGTAGACTCTCAAGTTCAACGTGTAGCGCCATACAATACACCAGCTTTCGTTTGAAAATTTACACTCGTATAGTAAGGTTACACCTGCCTCGGGCGAGCCTGCTGGTGATTGATCATTAGTTGAATGTCAGCAAAACGATTGTAAAACTCCACGCACTTATTGTTCAGACACGATATATATAACAAAATTATACGAAAACTGTCGTCGGAATAAACAAACGTTTTTCCTAACATAATAATAATAAAGGCGTTATTTACGTGTTTGCTATTTTACGTATTTTGTCTTATCTTATTGTCTACCTACGTAAACCAATTAGATGCATGGAACATAATGCCATTAGTGCTACTGTTCTCGTCCGCGATTCAACTCTAGTCATCTAAGTTATTCATTCGCGTTCGTAACGAAATCTTGAAGTTTTACTCTTGTGTACTGTGAAAATACATTGATAACATTAACTATCATATATGTAAATTAAATCTTATGTAATATAAATCTGAGTGATGTAATGCCCCGTTCAACATAAATGTTCTGACTTTATTGTCGTACAATCAATGATCTAAATGTGAATTATTGGCCATAGTGACCCTTGATTGTTGCATTATTAGACCAAAGAAGTTATATTGATTGTATAGCTTTGTTCTGGTCGTTAGTGACTCGCAGGCAGCTCCTACCAGCAGTCATACCGCGAACGCAGCGCGCGCCGGTTTGTCACACGCCTTGACAACTAATAACGTTTCGGTTTGACATAATAAGTTATTACAATAACATTGCTGACACTAAGGGTATCATTATAACCATGTTATCAAACGTTTACAATGCCTTAGAATAGTATAAATAGTTGTTTAGCTAGTACATTTCGTTATACGATCGGAAAGGATAGCTACGAGACGGGAATATTGGCCGGCTGTTAGGGCACTGTTGCGGGTTTGTTGTTTGCCGCCGCCCGACAGCCTCAATGAACTCATAAATCCGCATTCCGCTTGCGGGGAAGTTTCAGTTACGTTAGTAATAATTTGTTTGCTCCCTGTACACACCCGAACCTCGCCACCGACGTTTCTTTGCACAATCACCATCGAGTAGTTTCCCCCGTTCACTAACCCTATAGCCTTCCGATCGCTGATTCCACAGCTCGGAGCACTCATGGAGGCGGCGGAATGAGCGATCTAAGAGATCTCATCACCGGCGCTCACCGACATCACACCGGCGGAGGAGACACCACCGCGACGACTCATCAGCGAGGTCCCCACCCGAACAGGTGAGTCTGACCGTTTAGAAATTTTTATTTCTGAGGACGTTTGAATGGTTTATGAATCCTATGAAACCCAACGCTCGCGATCACCTCCCGAAGTTAATGTGTCCATCCGAAACCTCGTCTTTAGATGCACTACATATGTACGTATGTATAGTAACGTCTATATTAGTTGTGAACTAAGCGCGGAACCACAATAAAGAATAATACGTCAATGCGCCTGTTGCTTTGTACGTGAGAGACAGGTTTGGCATATGATTGCGCGTGCGCATGCGCCCTCGTCCGTGAAGAAGCTCGCGAGAGACGGCGACCTCCTCGCGTTTGCGCCAGTTCTATTTATGTTCGCCTTCGTCACTCGGAACGCCTTCAGTCAGTTGAAAAGCTCAGCCGGCCGCCCAACGCTTCTCTGGCTGAAAACTAAAATTCGTATAGTACGCGCCGCGGGCGGCCCGCGCGAGCCATGGCTGCCCAACCGCCGCGCCTTCCCCCTAACAACCTGCTGTTCAGCGGACCTCCTCCATCTCTACCGCGCGTGGTGTTCTTGCCAAGTGACACCGCTGCAAATAATCCCGTAATAGAAAGCGCATGTGACGATGACCTTGACCAGGAAAACGATGCGGATGTCCCCGATGAAATAAACAACGAGACAGTGACTGTGAATAGTGAAGATTACAATAGAAAAGTTTACAAGTCATCAGACGAACAACAGTTCTATACGTTAAATATTTTAAGAAGAACTCGAAGTTTTGACGTGTTAGATATTTATACTTGTAGAGATGATAGTATCGTAGAAGCAGATGTGAGTGGCTTAAAACATCGTAGGTCTGAACCGGACTTGAATAAATATGGTCTTTTTGTTGAAGCTGAAATTGAATGTGAACCGATACAACCACCTCCGCTCGTTCTAAACAATCCGTTTTATGATGCCTCATATGCTTTAATTGGTGATGATGTCAATGAAAATATTGTTATGTTGCCCGAAAATTACTTGGCGTTTGAAGACTCGTTTGATCCCACATGGAATTACAAAACAAATGTTGTGGGTGACCAGGGATTGTACTATGACGGCCAACCTCTCATACCACCCAACGATCCGTGGTCGATATACGGCAACAATAACAATAGTTTTCAATATTATACACCCCAATTCGAAATACCTACGGAAGAGGGAGTACAGTATATGCGCCTCAGTGACTTAGATTACGCGATACCACAGTATATGAGCCTTCCTTTAGTCGAACAGAAGATTCATAGCGAACCGTGCGCGGATTGTAGTAATCAAATGGAGAAAGAGCAGGAAATTAGGAAAACTAAAGTGGATGAAGAATCAGAAAATAATGAAAATGTTTGCAGTGAATTAGTAACAGAGACTATTCAACCTTTAACCGCTACTGTAGTAAATACGTTAAGCCTAGATAAAACTGGTAGTGTAGACTCTTTACCGAATAGAGAATCCTCATGTAGTGAATCCTTTAATGCGGATATATCTATTGATGTGACGTCCAGTTTAGCCTTCGTCCCTAGTAGTAAAAGCTCCCAACGTTCTCAAGGAACTGACAATACTAGTGATAACACGTCACCATGCTCCACTGATTACCACGAAGCCTCCGCCCTCGATATCGCTCAAAGCTTAGATGAACTATCATGTTCAGGCAGCACAGACTTTTCACAGAGTCGAGAGGAAGTGTCTCCTATACCGGAGGATCAAACAAGTAGTAGTAAACAACAAAGCAGTGTACATAGTAATAATAACAACGGACCCAACAACGTTGAAACAAATAAGCCGTTGGCCAGTTTACCACTATGTAAACTACCTTCCATTCCATTACACGAGCAAATACCACCAAAGCTCCCCCCTCAGAGAAATAATGTGATGTGTAATAATAAAAATGTACATAATAATACATATACAAATACAGACGATAGTGTTGTCCAGTGTGAATCGATACCTCATAGTGATAAAACAACTAAAGATGATAATGTCAAACATGCTGCAAAAACAACTGCTGCTAACACAGTTAATGTAAGCGACTCATCAAAATGTATGAGAGCGGCACCTCAACCGCCGTCTGTGCCGCCGGCGTGGTTGACAAAAAGTACAACAGGTGGAAATAAACAGAAAGTTAGCAAAGACGTGCCTCAAATACTTATCAATAATGTAGATGAGACCAAACATGATAAGAGTAGCACGTCCATACAAGTGACAACTAAGTCGACTGATCCTGTAGAACCTCAACCATCGTGTTCATATGCACCGCCCGTACCTCCACCTCCAGCCCAGCTGAAGCCCAAAGATGTAGAGGTCAGCCATCTCGCATATATTAATATAAGAATCAAATGTATTTAATATATTAGAAAACGCTTATATGATAACGTTCAGTACGCATTCAGAACGAACATATCGAGAGCAAAGCGCAATCTATTTTAAATTATATTATTGGGTCAAGGGTTTCAGTAACACGTCTTGTGTTCCTTGTGTATATAGATTTATGAAAAATGTCGTTAAATATATCAAACATAATGACTCATTAAACTGCCATGTGTGTGTTAATATTGTTATTAATACGTATGGAAGACGCTAACAGTAATTCATACTTATACAGGACATGTGTTTCTCACCTTTTGTACTTACAAAATAACAGTTCTCAAAATAACATGCTCACCTTAATCAAATGAAACGCAATTTTATTACATTATATACGGTAAACAAATAATACGAGGGTACGTATTACTGAAATAGACCGGCAGCTGGCATTAGCTGTGGCACTCCAATAGTTAGCGCTAGATGGCGGCACATGGTGTGCTCATCTCTAACGTATGATACGGAAATAGATTAGATCACCTTCACCTAGGAGAACATATCTCTATCTCAGATCAATTTATAACTATTTAAATAACAATACCACAAACTAAATAGCGTCAATATATCTTTTATTCTATTTTCGTTACAAACAATTGATGGTTAAAATTAATTTGATACTAAATTAGGCTTAGACTCGGTCGAAAATTCAAGTGAAATTTCAATATATTATTTAAAATTTAGCCTACTCGCCTTTTTTATTATGTAAACAAATTATTCGCGTTTGGTGAAAGCGTTACGTATTAGTATGTCTTATATATTATAAAGTGGACGTTGTTTAATTAATCCTAATTAAGGCACGTTCGGTGTATGCTTACTATTTAATTGTTTTGTATCGTTGTGTAAAACACTTAAATTGAAACTCGTTTCATCTAGCTGGCTCCAGTCACCAGACACGTCACCCAACAGAAACTTTGAATTCCATTGTAGAGATATTGTAATTATTTGTGTTATGTTTATATAAATACCAGCTAATGGATTCACTAGAAAGATAAAGAAATATTTTCTTTATTAAAATATATTTCCGAAAGATTATAACATCTTAAAATTCTTAACAATTTTGACGGCCCTTGCAAGTGTTGTAGGGGCTTCCCTTTGAATTAGTTCGCCTCAAACACAAGTGAAGACAAGTATGATGCGGGTGGAAGTAACCCACGCATGATCATTTGTAGTAAATAATATAAAATTTCCAATTGATTTATATTTATCAATATTTTTGTGACGCTTTATGTTTCATTGACGTGCGTATTTTATAGCTATACATATGAAATTTCCTCCCACCCACCCACATGACAATCTGGCAGTTTTAATTGCTTTTCATTTAGCATTTGTATAGTCGTACGATTATGAATATTTTTCTCTTTTTTTATTATTAATTTGTTAGAAATGTGAATAGATCTGATTTTATATATATAATGTTTTATCTCGTTTAACGATAGCAATGTGTTAGAATACATTCGTTCGATAGTGACCGACATGTGATTATTAAGGTCAAGTTCGTGTTACCGTGGCTGGTTCCATTTCTGTTAGTCTTCTCCTAAGGTCACTCCTCATAGCTCCGACCGCTATAGTTCACCTATTCGTCAAGACCCCGCTTCTTCCGGCCGGCCTTGTATAGCCGCCAGCGTTGCAACAACCGTGCCGCTCCGATGATTTACGAACGGTGATCATGCACACGTTTTCACGTGAAACAATAATCGATATATAACGACTTTCATGAGAAGCATTCTCTATAGTAAAGATTCTGGAATAAGATATATCTTAAGTCTATCTCGTAGTAGATCAAATATAGTAAAATTAACACTATTGTGTCTTAACTTCCAATTGACAAACCATAACATTTCGTTTTAATAGAATTCTGAATTCCATTGAATTTTCAGTCCGCAGTATGTACGTGTTCCGGCACCAGTGTCTGTTATCAATGAGTCGCTCTCATTTAGTACACACGGCCGGTGCGTGCTCTCATATCACGTACACACTATAGTATGAAGACCCCATGGGGTCACAGATTGAACACATTACAAGATATTAACGATCATGTCTCACACACTGACGACCCTAACTTCTTTGACAGTATAACACTGATTATTCTCAGAATGTATAGAGATCAATTACAGTAAAAATAATATGACTCACGTTGATTTAGATGTATATAATGCAAATGTCTTTCGAAGAATATCATCGTCATTAACGAGAAGTGGCGATCGTCTGCGGTTAGATCCTGTTCGAACCGAAAGCTGCAACAAATTGTGTTTCATTAATGTTTACTAAGTTTAATTGGTGTGCGGCGAAGACTGTTCACTCAGTTCCCGTTTGTACGTCGTCGGGCGCGATCTCTGTGTCTTTATTATAATTCTTTTCATTGTTCTTTATATAAATAATTTTAAAGTTCATATTCATCCGGCGCTTAAGTATATCGGCGGCGCATTGGGCTGTAGTGCGGGCTCTCAGCACAGTTGTAAGCCGGCCGGGCGTCGTTCAAGCCGCCCCTAGAGCGCTCGTCGCTCCACGGCTAGACCAGTGAAGTGATAGCAGTGTATATAATATGACAGAGATTGTTTTAAAGAACGTTCGTCACCACGTGCCGCTGCGTCTGTCCTCGTTCTACGACCTGTATAAGAGATTCCTTAAGGATCACGGTTGCAAGTGGCACGATGTCGCTAAACTTTTATCTGTACTCGCGGATTTACTGTTTGATGTGGACGGTGCATGTAGTAAGATAGCGAGCAAGGTTAGTAACTTTTATGAGATAAAAATTATATAAACATGCGATTTATTTTAATATGATAACGATCGGGTGAAGTTAGGACGGTGTCTGTAATTTATGCTATATTGAATACATGCATTTTTATTATTTAAATGAATAAACAAATAGAGAGATCGCCAAGATTCTTGAATGTTCTATGAAATCGCCCCTTAAACGAATTTTAAACCAATCGTAGAAAGGCTAGCTACCTGGCCATTGTTATTGTTGTTTAACTAGACCCCAGAACAGCTGTTATGACCGTGGTACACCGTTTATGTACCACAGATGAACGTGTTTTAATACCAATGCACTCAGCTAGTAATATTTTCTCCGTCATCAGTGCTTATAAATCTATGGAATTAGTGTTTTTGTTGTTGTTACTTGTTTTATATATAGCATCACATAAAATTATGACGTTTAAAATCTTTCTCGACATGATTTACCTGTGTATATTAAATATGTCGGAAAATCTTTTACTATCTGAGGTATGTCTTGCATTATCATTAATATTGTTATAGAAAATAAATAAATAAACTATTGGAGTGTCGTACGTCGATTTCTAATTAAAGTTCTTTGAGTGGGTCGGATTTTTTATTCGTTCCATAAATACATTAAATGGTGATAATTAGCCCGGCATGTACACAAATATGAATGTTATGTTAAAATATTTTGCCGGTGAAAGTAACGTGCTTTGTAATCAGCTCGCGATAATAATACCAACAGAATGTTGTATATACAGCGACGCTTCCGTCGAGCGAGGCTGTTTTAACGGACGTACGGGTTCCGGCAGACTTAAGTCACTTTAACAATAAGTGATCAACAGTATTAAAACACAATCTACACACTGCTATACTCAGTCATTGAGATTAGTTAATAGTAGTCAATATTAATGGTTGATTGTAAATATCCTATGAAGAAAAGATGATGTAGTGTAATATAGTATGAATTCTTGTTAAAGTGACATATGAATGCATTCCGTTTAATATGAAATTGCATACAAATGTTATATTAAAGATAATCGTGCAATATTTGTAAACGATCGCAATAAATCTCAGTAGAACACGCACGGTGATCGTGTCTCGTAAGACTAAAGAGTATTTCACAGATGCCAGTGTTAGATAATTGTATAGTATCTTAATTTAAATTACCGATAACACGGAATAGACGTGCAAGTTTAATGCTACCTCAACATGATGCAATGATGTTATGAGTTTGTTCGTTCGCTCCCGGTCGGTACACGCTCGTTGGCTTTGCACGTGAACACAGTATTGTTCAGCATCAGTATGCGTTCCACTGACCCGATTAGTTAAGACACATTGACAGTATTATCTTGGCTCTAGAACTCATTGCTAACGCCAAAGAAAGCTCTCACTTAACAGAGGGGCACCTTCACGATATATATGTGAATTAACACAGAAAGAAATTGATACTTGTCAGAGTTTATCGCCGATTAAAAAGTCCGTTATAATTTTCTGTATGTCATGATACGTTGCAAATACTTGATGAAAATTTGTAAATAAAATTTTTGATCTGTCACATATTCATAAAGAATAACGCATGCGTCAAAAAATATGGAAAATATTAAGAAAAATTATTGTTGAAATATACGTTCAAACTGATGATGCACGAAAAATGTAATCAAATGATATTTTTTAATAAAGGTATAAAGAGGAAGATCTAAATATGTATGTATAGCCAATGTAATGCGACGAAAATGCGCGTGCGGGCGGTACCTCGAAGTGCGCGGGAGGGCGCTCCCACGGGTTGCTGATATTTTTAGTTTGCGACCAATACTTGGCACCGACGGCCGCACTCGGCTAAGCTAGTGATAGCATCGAATCCCTCCGCGGAAAGCGAAAAGCTTATAACATGCTATTTGTGCAGATATTGTGAATAAGTGACTAGTATACATGAGGTTGATGTTAGTTAAAATATGATTTGTAAGATCATTTATGTGATGTACCCAGGCTGAGTTGTATATTGTAACTGTTTTATTATTTAATAAAAATGGCCAACATGGGCAGCAGTGGCAACGTGACCACCAGCCCTCGTCGTCGGTACACACGAGCGTCCACCACCAGCGTCACTCAGCTGTTATCAGATGGATACTCCAACATCATGAACCGACTCACACGAAGAGGACCCTCCGAGAAAAACGATCATATGATTGATACGAAGTTAACAGCTGCTCGTAATCGCTACGACGACAAATTACTATCAAACAATAATTCAGTATTAACAAATGTCCGACGTTACGAAAACAGTAGAAAAATATCCCCATACAAACCGTTCACCTCCACTATAACGGCGACTGCGAAAAAGTTTGGAGACGACCGCGGATACTCGGGTTACCTGAGCTCGCCCAAGACCCGGATAGACACATCACCTGTGCTATCAAGTCCCAGTATGAGCGCTCTCACCCGCAGTGACTCATTTCGCAGGGCTTCCAAGAAAGATAATAAATCATCACCGTTCACCAAACGATATCCTCTCAAGGAAACTAATAATAACACACTAGAAAGTACAATTGCTTTAGGTAGTACACGCAGCCGTTTAGAAGATAAATACTCCTCGGTTTTAGACAAAATAGCTATTCAGAAGAAAGAGAGAGCTAAGAAGGAGAAAGAAGACCGTGACAAAACTTTAGAACCTGAACCGGCTTCTTTTTCTAGGGGATTAATGAGAAGCTTTACGACTGCTGTATTCGGAGAGAATTCTTTTAAAAGAAATAATTATTCGCGAGAAAAAACAAGGGATAAGACGCCGTTCAGAAATACGACTGATCGTCGTTTACCGTCTAGTCATAAACAAAGCTCTAAAAACGAATTAAAAAATGGGTTCGATGCGTCTCTGAGAGATGGAAACCAATTTATGAAGGATAGGGATAGTGTTTATAGAAAACACCACAGGAGGTCACTCAAAGTAGAGAAAAGCAGTAGTGATAAGAGAAGTGGCAAGCTATCTTTAAGGCCGATCGATATCAGCTTACAATCTGGCACGAGAGACTTAATCTCACCGATACAACAAGAAATCAAATATAAGCCGACGAAAACGCCTGCCTCCTCCCCGGTCTGCGAAGGCCGGCAGAAACAAATATACTTCCCTTCGAGTGACGAGGACGACGATAAGACTCCGGTGGGCGACCGAGCGCTCACGGAACGAGAGACGCGAAGGAAAGAAATACAGGGACTGATCATGAAATACGCACATCTGGATGAGGTGTACGCTCGGATCACTGAGAAGGAACCCAACGGAGTCTCCAAAGATATAGTGCCGAGGAAATTGGAGCCTATCGGAGTCGGGGATGTGGTGGCCTTACCACCAGAGCTAAGGAGTCGACATCGACCACAGCGGCCGCGGCACCTCATGAGGCACGCGGCCACGCCGCCTGTAAGCACAAGCTAACCGACCGCTTGCGACTCTGTGTGCCGCTAACATTACATGGTCCGTGATTTGAAATAATATATTTATAGAACAAGTATAAAAAAAAACAAACAGACGCGTAAAGGACGAAACGACTTGCTATTTGACTTCATTGACGTCAACAAAAATAATAATAGAAATGCATGTATTTTAGCAACTTGTAGCGTAAACATCTGACATAATATTCATATGAGGGTAGTTGATAAAAATTATGATCGACAATTAAGAATGCATAATTTAAAGACACTTCAGTGAGTTCAAACACTCGTAATAATCGTGTACGACGAAATCGAACTACTGGTATAATATTAAATATAAAATTGTGAAATGATAGTGCATGTATTAGATTTTATTGTGCGTGCTTTCGAATACAAAATGTCTCTGTTTTGTGTTAAAATATTTTCTAACAACAAAATTAGGAGAAGATTCAATAAGCTTACTATTGGAAATGTTAGTAAAGTGTAAGAATGAAATTGCTTCCGAATAACAATATGTATTGATAAGACGGGTTCGGGTGGACACAGCCGTAATACCTAATGAATGCTAGATGGGTGCCCTGTGAGTGAATGAGAGTGATGCGTTGGATCCAGTCCCGTTGTCTTCCCATCCCTCCCGGTGTCCCGTGTGTCCCGGCGTCCCGGTCCCTCGGTCGTGGCGCGCCCCGAGGCCGGCGCCCTCGCCCTCGTCCGCCCCCCGTCAACCCTCTAACAGCATGTACGACACTCCATGACCATACCAATTGTCGCTTGTCTGACGGGCAACCGTTCCATTGTCTGATTGTTGGGTACAACACTACTCGGGGTCGTGGCGATCGTGTGGCGCTCTCCGTGTGGCCTTTGCTGATGCTGGTGCGCTCGGTGCTCGGTGCTCGGTGCTCGGTGCGGACTCCGCGGTGTGGTGTGGTGTGGTGTGGTGCCGCCTGCAGAGCTCCCGGGCACGCTCCTCCGTCAAGGACGACAAGGACGGACATCTGGTGTACTGGCCCGGATATGTCATGGGAGCGAGATGTTCGTGTCCACAACATAACTTAACCACGAATATAATTATGTAACACACACACACACACACACGCAACATAAACACAGTACAGACATTACACACACATACATACACACACCATATAAATACAGTAAATGAACCACAGCACACATCAATAAAGATTCATACATATAAAACTAGGAAGTGACTACTCGAATCATTTCCATCATTATAGCCCTTTTACAGATTTGAGTTTCGAAGATTTTAAATGTTAACATAGTTTTTGATCGCTTGTTATTTTATTATAATAATTATTATTTTGATGAACAGCCGTCAGTCATAATACCAACTGAATAAAGTCACATCGGACGTAAAGTCATATAGTTCATGTTACGTCCGTGTAGACCCGACACTCGCACATATCACTAATCGGCGACGCGTTGCTTTATTACAGACAAAATCATCGAGACGCTCGGTGAGGGAACCTTCGGGAAGGTGGTCGAAGTGAAGGATCTCGAAATGTGAGTCTACTAATAGAATAACATATAGAAACTATTATAAAATGATCTCCCACAACTATCACTATTATATCAATCCTATGAAATTCTCAATAAGAATGTTTTAAGTATATTATTTGTTAGTCGATTAACCTGCGCTCACAGCAAACACCGAAGCTATATTTAAAAATATCTGGCATAGAATTATCGATTAATCTGGCGACCGGTTTCTATTTTCATTTGTTTGTATAGTTTTTTATTTCGATTCAATCGGCAGTGCTATTTTAACTATTAAAATGATAATACTAACTTATTGTTTATAAATTTCAGGGAGCACAGAATGGCTCTGAAGATTATAAAAAATGTGGAGAAGTACAGAGAGGCTGCGAAATTAGAAATAAACGTATTAGAAAAATTAGCTGACATTGACCCCGATTGTAAGAAGTGAGTATTGTGTTGATGAAGTTACTTAGAACATGAGATAGCATGGTGTTGTATGAAGTTATTAATATAATAAGACGTGTGTTTGTCGTCGGTAAGTCATGTGACCTTGCTCGTTATACGGACCTGGCGGCCGGCCAGCGAGCGCCGGCCTCCGAATATACAAGAGATCCATACAATATTACACTTTCACAGGCGATTAGTACTATTATAATGTGGAATTATACAAGAAAAAGATGTCATTATAGTACTTATGACACAAAAACTATACCATTACTTATCTCAATACTACTGATAACTAAATACGTGTTTAGTCATAAATGAGTTCGGATATTACAGTGTAACAAACATACATACACACATACATGAACCCGTCAGTAATAATGTAACGTGTTCTCATTACAGCCTGTGTGTGAAGATGCTGGACTGGTTTGAATATCACGGACACATGTGTATCGCGTTTGAGATGCTCGGACAAAGTGTATTTGACTTCCTGGTGAGTAATTTTGTATATAAATACATATATACATATTTAATATAAACACAAGTAATATTAATAGCTTATTTTAGTATTTAGTAGTGTATGAAGTGTCAAATATTCATTAATTTAAAGCGCAAATATACGTAGACGTTATTAAAATTCTTATAAGTTGGTATAAAGATTGGCCCATAATACCAATATTGGTGAATGTTTGTAGACGCCATTGTTGTAATAGTCACAGATTATAAAAGTATTACGTTAATGTTAACATTAGTATGACGTGTAGAGACAGATAATAAAGAGCTAACATTGTACATAACAAGTACATATTTAATGAGATTAAATTTATTTATATAAGCGATGAACAGACTTGGGGAATGTCCCATCATTTGCTTCATATAGGATCAATTAAAAAAAAACGTTCACTTTGAATTTAAATATATAAATATTTGTTAAGAAATTATTTCGCTAGTATTTTACAATAATTGTCATTATGAAAACTAAATAACATAATTTTCCTGAAAAGTATGTTAGCCAATCTATACTAATATTATAAAGCTGAAGAGTTTGTTTGTTTGTTTGTTTGAAGGCGCTAATCTCCAAAACTACTGGTTCGAATTGAATAATTCTTTTTGTGTTGGATAGTCCAGTTATCGAGGAAGGCTGTGAGCTATATAACATCACGCTACGACTAATAGGAGCAAAGATATAGTGGTAAATGTGTAAAAAACGGGAGAAATTATTTCATCTTTGAAGCCTTCCGTTGCGTGCGCCGTGAAAACGGTTCAAAATACACAAAAAATATGTATAAAAGAATAATAGCTCTTTTAATGATCTAAAAAACAGTCCGCGACAGTATATGTCTATCTTTTAAGATTAACTCACAAAAACCGTTTTTATGGTACCTAATTTGGTCGAAATAATTTGTTTAAGTTGTATCAACATAATAATATTAATCTTTATTCAAATAAACAAATAAATATATTGTTGGTTAAGAGACCTTCATTGTGAATAAAAAAATAGGTTTTATTCTGAAAATTTTACGGGAACTCGACCATTCCGAAAACCCCGCAAGAACGGGAACTATGTGGGAAGAACCAAAAATCTGTCGGAAGTCACTATTCCATGCGGACGAAGTCGCGGCAAAAGCTAGTAGTTCATATATTTTCATCGAATTTTACTAAACATCTTTACTATATAACAAATTAACATATTCATTTGTCATGAAACTTATCATATTGACAACCATTTTTGTTCAATAATTGTTTTTAATTAAAACAGAATGATCTACGTTCTACTATCACATTTACTATCAAGTATATAGTTTATACTATATGTATGTATGTCTGTTTAACAGAAAGACAACAACTACCAGCCGTACCCGCTGGAGCAGGTGCGTCACATATCGTACCAGCTCATACACAGCGTGCTGTTCCTACACGACAACAAGCTGACACACACGGACCTCAAGCCGGAGAACATACTGTTTGTGGACAGCGACTACGAGGTCGTCAGTGTGTACAACACATCCAAGAAGGTAATCATCTTATACTAAATATAGATATAGTAATATACATCATTGATTCCCAAAGAGGGTTTATGTCAGACAGGCGGCCGGTCGTAAAAACAATTAGCCAAAACTATTCACAACATGTGAGACACACCCTGGCTAAAACGGGGAAATTGCCTGGTAGAAGAAGATATAGATATCAATATATCAATGAAATGTATAATATAATAAATATAATGCTGTATCATTATTAAGAGTAGTCTGACCTGAGAAGCTTAAAGATTGTACATTAAAAACAAGTAACACGAGTCTTGTAATCTTAATTAATTTCTTCTTTATTATTTTTATAGTTTGATGAGATTTATTATGAATTATCAGTCAAAATCAGTTGGAATGAAACTTGTGTTATGATTCCCTCGTGTTGTAGCGACATGAACCTATTGACAATTCACCATAGTTCTGACGCATATAACAAAAATGACATAAATACATTTTATTATTCATATATTCTAATCTATTGTCCCTTAAAAAAAAAATATATAAATATATTATACTATTTTTCGTCATATAAGCTACATAAATGTTATAATAATAATAGACGTTAATTGTTTAAAAGATTACACCACTACAAAACAAATAACTAACAACAAAATAAAAACAGAGTAAAACTTATCCTATGTATACAAAAAAGGAAAATAAAATAACATAACAACTAAAACAGGGCAAATATTAATTTTAAAAATCAATAACAATAATAATAAGTATGCAGCAGTGTAATTTAACCAAAAGGATAACCACTCAGTAAAAAATAGAAGCAATGTTGCTTCTATACTGATTTTCAGTGATCTCCTAATGTTGAGGCACGTCCATATAATATGTGTCGTTATAATATTTCAGAAGCACGATCTCCGTCGCGTGAAGCGTAGTGACGTCCGTCTGATAGACTTCGGCAGCGCTACCTTCGACCACGAACATCACTCGACTATAGTGTCCACCAGACACTACCGGGCGCCGGAGGTTATACTAGGTACGAACAAACTGAACATATAAGAATAAATAAACAAATATAACACACATAACTAAACGTCATAGAAATAATCCAGTCACATCCCTACTAATATTATAAATGCGAAAGTAACCCTGTCTGTCTATTACGCTGTCACGCCTAAACCACTGAACTGATTTTAATGGAATCTGGTACAGACAGAGTTGACCTTGAGAAAGAACATAGGATAGTTTTTATCCCAGACTTTGGAAAGGTTCTCTTGGAAACGCGATATAACCGAACTCCATCCGGGCGGAAAACTAGTTGGACATAAATACTTTACCTTTTAATTGAAGACAAATTATGTTTTAAAAAGTTATGTTATTGTATAAAACAGGAAGATTTTAGCCATAATAATATAATGTTGTTTGTTATTTAATATGTCGTTATGTGTATTTCCAGAGCTGGGTTGGTCCCAGCCGTGTGACGTGTGGTCCATCGGCTGCATCATGTTCGAGCTACACTTGGGCATCACGCTGTTCCAGACACACGACAACAGGGAACACCTCGCTATGATGGAGAGGATACTGGGACCCATACCCTACAGGTACTAACAGAAACACACTACTGACAGAAACTAAACACTTGTATTAAAGAAAACATATAACTGGATATATATTCAAAACCACAGTTATTTGCTCACTAAAGACAAAAAATACTAGTACTATATAGCACCGAAAAATAATTAAGTAGTCTGTTTGTGTATTTATTGTACATAAAATTTGAGAATGTATGCACGAATGTTGCTGAGATAGTTTGTATCATTGCTTGGTATAAAACATTAATAAATTTGTTTTTTTTTTTTTCAGAATGGCAAGAAAAACAAGGACGAAATATTTCTATCACGGCAAATTAGACTGGGATGAAAAATCGTCAGCGGGCAGATACGTTAGAGAGAACTGTAAACCATTATTAGTGAGTTTGTATTGATGAAGATTATATTGAACTATATGAATCATATAAATACAAATATAAATATGTACCTGTTGTTAATGTAAAAAAAAAAATACATTGGACTTTATAGTTTCACTGATAGAGAGATTAGATAAAGGTCATATTTATATTGGATTGTACAAAAATTACAATTGAAGGACTACTCTATCTAATTGTTGAGATGAATCTATATTCCGTAACAAATATTAACGAATATTCTTAGGCCTTATTTTAATGTCGTATAACAGTGAAGTAAGTACTGTTACTTTGTAATAATAGTTAATATTATCCGTGTGTACACACAGAGGTACCTCCAGACTAACAGCGAGGAGCTCCGCCAGCTGTTCGAGCTGATCGGCCGCATGTTGGAGTACGAGCCCTCACAGAGGATCACGCTGCGGGAGGCGCTGCAGCATCCCTTCTTCAGCAAACTACCGCACAACCAGAGACTAGGTAACGACACATAAACTCACACGCGCACACACATACACACACGCACACACAACGAACGAGAGGCGCATCTCCAGATTAGAATCATTTTTGATCTGATGCAGTTGTCAATTAACTGTAGTGAAATTTTATTAGTAAGGACACTATGTATAGAATGAATAAACAATTTGTTTGTGAAACATTTATATATGACGGTAACATCGTTGTTGAAATACTTGGTGGTGATCTTGTGGAGCCGTTACTTAATTAAACTTCAATGAGATGTAGAAATTTCAATCGATTTATCATTCCCGTCAATATCCCTCGCACACATCACATAAATATTTCATTTATCTCAAAACATCACATCACAAGTTTCACTATAAAAGCTTCACTATGTGTCGTCACCCGACTATACTTAGTATTAGATGTGTGATAGTTTGTAAGCACAACGACAATAACATGACAATATATTATATAATAAATAGCTGATTTTTACATAGTGTGTAAGATATTGTAGGTGACGAGAGTCGCCTCTGTATGATGTGAATTGTTTGTTATAGGAAGCCAGTTTTCAAGGCCGTCGTTCTATAGGTCAGGCCCATTATATATGTTAGATGCTTTTAACGGCTTTCTTATTTTAATTACTTTCCTTTCGAACACATGCTGAGACATGTCCGAATCGTTCTGTTAACGTCCGTGTGCAAATAATAGTTAATTAGGTTTTAAATGTGTAACATTGTTTGGAAATACGAATTAAATGTTTAGTTTAATAATAGTTTCAATACTTTTTGTTCTTTATGTTCCAGTATGTATGCCTGTGCTTCTAATATATATTTATATATCGTCCGAGAGACGGAGCATGATCGACTGTAGCTTAAAATATATTGACCGCATCACCTCATTGTTTGTAGTTTTTTCACACGCGATTTCATCAAATGTACAAAACACATTATTTTCTATTCTGTTTTTTGTATACTGTAACGACTCTAAATGTCTATAATGATGTATTTCTTTCGTAAGGAATGCTACCAGCCAAGGGAGCATTCGGTAAACACGTAATGTTATTGTTCGTTTGACCGTGTGTATATAAAGTGGTCGTTTGTTTGTAGGCAGTGACCGCGCGCGCTGCAACGGAGAGAGCTCGGCGTCCCGCGAGCGGTCTCACTCGCTGAGCCGGTGAGAGTGACAAGTGACATGTTATGAACATTGTAATGTAGGTTATGTTTTGTTGTGAATCGGTACTTCTCAATTTGTATTTATAAAATAATTAATATTTCAAATAAAGACTGTCAGTCTCAGCTCAACATGTTTCATTTATTAATCCCATCATTGTCTAGGAAAGGAAAGAAGTGTTAATCTGTTATAAACGAGTTCCAAAAAGAATCCATATATCGATTTTCTAACAGCTCCATATAACCAAATACTACTTATATTTAAAAATGTCGAAAGTAAAATATTAGTGAGTCGTTTGTCTTCATATATATAATTCTTCTGTGAGTGTGTATGTCACTGAACTTCTCCCAAACGACTGGACCGATTTTGATGAAATTTTTTGTGTGTGTTCAAGGGGATCTTGAAATGGTGTAGATTCACAATTTTGTGCGCTGACAATGTTTTTTAATTAATTTTTAATTTATTAAGGTAAAGTCAACTAATGTACACTTTAAGGAAAACACTGTTTAAATGACAATAATTATAAATTTATTAAACAAAACAATTCCAGCTTTTTTATAGGAACACAGTGTATCTTAAAAAATTATCTTAAGTAATAAAATTTTCAATAATTAACTATTTTAAATTATTATCAATAAAAAAAATATACATACATGGTCTTAACCTAGTGGTTTTACCAATAGTAGACAGAAAATTACCAATAGTAGACAGTCAAATGCACTTAATGCTTGACACTGACTTGACATTTGGATGATGTTAAATTTTGAGGCTGTCTATGGATTAAGTCTGGGTTCCGCTTTAATAATAATAATCATTTATTTCAGACCATATTGTAGATCCATATAGTGTTAGTACAAATTAAACTTAATAAATGAATTGGTTAGTAAATTTACAAAAGAAAATCAATTTTATTTATGATACTTAACTAATTTTAAACAACACATATTTTACTTAACTACGTGGAGTCGTAGCCAGTGTGCTAAAATTGGTGTATCCCAGTGCATACAGGATTGTGTTGGGACAGTCCCTTACTCGTCGAAGTAAGGACGCGCAGCGTTTGCGCATGATGGAAGCAAAGCCATCTGTGTGAGCCTCTGCGAACATAGCAGAGGCGCTGCAGTATCGCGGCAGCCCCATCAACATCCTGAACGCATTGTTGTATTGCACACGTAAGTCACTGTATGCCCTCCGAGTATAGTAAATATAGTAAAAAACTGCTGTACCATCTTTTACCAGGCCTCCCATTTTTAAGAGGAGTTTTTAAATTCAAATCATCAACAATTTTTTTCACACTATCTTGTAAATTTTCTTTGCCTATTGAAAATCCTAGGTTCAACATAGCTTTAGCCCACTCTACAAGCAAAGCTTCAGTATCATCAGAGATGTAGCATGTTCTACCCATTTTTCGTTTTATTGGTGTTTACCATTTACTTTATTCAGCAGAGTTACCATCAGTACCTCGAATTTTTTGAAGCACTTGATGTCGGAACTCCTCGTCTTCATTCTTGAATAGTGGCTTCCATATCAGCCTCAGAGTAACGAAACATCTATCTTATTATTTGTAGCATAATTATTATCAGCCTGGAACCTTAGAACCAATAATTGACATCGTGTATACCCAATAATAGACACCATGTCTACCTTTAGTTACAGAGATCCAAAAAAGCTGATATCTCTTCAGTAATCTTTTCATTGGAAATAGAGTCCAAAATCGTGCGTATCATAATACTCTAATATCGGGAAACACCAATAGGTGCACGCCTGTCAACTATTGGATTTTCATTGTTTTTTGAAACTAATAGTAGACATATCATAATTTGTTAGAAAAATATTAGCAAACACAAGAAAAGCACTTTTAACATTATCTTAACACCTCATTGATACTTTCTCAAATGAATAAAAAGCATTTTTTTTATTAAATATCGGTTCAAAATACACCTTCAAATTTCGGCGTCCTTAACCTAAGAATTAAGAAATCAAGGAAAGCGCTCATTCGTTACGTCTTTGAGAGAAACTAACGATATTTTTGAAATTTCGTTTAGAAACGTTGGGATTTTTTTAGATTAATTCAAAGATGGGGCTAGGCATCTTCCGATATTGTTATAAGAGTCATTTTACTAAAATTGTTTTTAATACAAGAACATTCCTTCGAAGGTCACCCTTTAGGTCACTGTCTGGCATTAGTGACTTTACCTTACTAGTTGTTGATACAAACGTTTTTTTTTGACATTAGATTTGACAACTAACTAATATGTCAATCATTCTGTCGCACTTCAAAACACTGAGATTTATGGCTTTAATAGGTAAACTCCAATGATTATAGGGCGATACGAAGTTCGCCGGGTCTTCTAGTAAAACTTATAAAGTAGGGAGTAAGGAGTAGTTTTTTACAACCACCAAAGGAAATAACAAAACAATATTTGCGTTTCATAATTTATTTTATAATTGCTTCATAAGGTATAATAAATACAGCTTCTATGACTATTTTATAACTTTAGCTTTAGAAGCCTTAAAAAAAGACGAATAAATAGGATTTATGGAAAATATATTTTCAATATTAAAATCAAAATATTCTTGGACTCTGCATGTTGGTAGTTTTATCTAGACCATAGAAGTAATTTTAACCTTACAATAAGATTTTTTTGGAATGTAATATAACCACAATTTAGGTATTAAATTGCAAAATATTGACATAAGATTATTATTTGGTAATGCACCCCGTACGATGAGAACAAGACTTTGTTAAATAAAAAATTAAAGTACAAACATTTGGCAAATTAAATACTTAATAAATTATATCACGTTTTATCACATAATAATATATTAAGAGTCATCATAACTCGAGTGACGACATCGCCAATAACGTCAACAATTTGCACAAAAAATACAGAAACAAAATGTCACGTATAAAACAAACGTCTACAGAAGATGAAGAGATTTAAACAAGAAACGCTTTACAAATAGAAACTTTAGAATAAATAATTTATCGTGTGTTGCCATTAATAAATAACATCGTTGAAGCGAAATTTAACAGAAATATTTATAAAACATTAACTTTGGGCGCGTCGTGAGGCCAGTCGTACACGGGCGGCAGCGCGCGGCCGTAGCGGACGTCGTACATCTGTGAACGGATGAAGGACTCCGTGTTGAGAGGAGGAGGCTGCACGGACGCCTTGCCTGGAGATACGTGAACAAACATATACATTAAAAAGATTATATGTGTTTAGAAACAATTAAAAGTTGAACTATAGGGTTTTAGTCTCATATATGACCAAACAATAGTGTATTGTTATGTGGGTAAGTTTAACTAGATGGCAGCACTAGTACTTTATTAGTTCAATCTTAGAATTACAACTGTCTATGATTCTGTATGTGTGATAACTTTGCTTCAAAAATAGTGTTTATCCAATTAATGAATTAGGAACTTTCTTTATATTATATCATGTGTAATGTATATGAACCACTCACCAGTAGCGTACGCGTGTTCCACAATCTTCTTAGCGATCTTGACGGAGCACTCCTGTATGTGCTCTAAGGGCGGGTACAGACTGCCCTGGTCCAGGTCCTCTTGTGATACGATCTCCGCCAAAGCCTAGTCACACAAACATATTATAAGTTACATTATACATTGTTTTTAACTATCTTTATATGTTCATCTTTATATATATAATTCTTCTGTGAGTGTGTATATCACTGAACTTCTCTCAAACGACTGGACTGATTTTGATGAAATTTTTTGTGTGTTCAAGGGGATCTGGGAATTGTTTAACTATAATTTTGTTCGCTTGACAATGTTTTTTTAATTAATTTTTAATTTATTAGTAATTGTCGATACAAACGTTTTTTTTTTACATTAAATTGTGAACTCCAAAAATATAAATAAAAAAACGTAACAAATATTTCTTGATTATAGGGCGATATGAAGTTCGCCGGGTCTTCTAGTACATGTATAATACCTCAGCGGCCAGTAACATAAAGTCGTCGGACACGTCCACCAGGCCGGCGCACAGTATGCCGAGCGCCAGGCCGGGGAAGATGTACGCGTTGTTCCCTTGTCCTGGACGGAGCACGCGCCCGTCCTTGGTGCGGTAGTCCGGGAACGGGGAGCCGGACGCGAAGATAGCGCGCTCCTGGAACATTAACAATACTTATTACAATATATATTTAAAATAGTCAGTGAGCGAGTTTGATACTTTAACGGGAAAAACAGCTTGATTTATTTTAACGACAGCAAATTATATAACTCACGACACTTGTCTCGTAGTGGACACTATGGAGCCTAATTTTTGTTGAAATTATACCCAAATATGTTATACTGCTTTAATTATTTGAAACGTGTACAAAGGTTCGAGTGCAAGGTTCGAAGTGACACAGCAAATTTGAAATAATAATATGTAGTCGGTAGATTTAAAACTGGTGATGAATTGTATATAGAAATATGAAGCGCCTGAATATGAACTATAGCAGAAACGTTATTGCTCTTAGATGGCTGCTGGCGCGAATAACACTATTAAATATAGTTTATAATTTATCACGGAGTTTCGTGTAGCTCAAACAGGTATGAACTCTTCAATCGAACGCTAGATGTCGGTAATCGTCAGCTAACATACATATCATCTATTTGTATGTGAACCTGAGCCGTTAGTATATATTATATAATGTGTGTCATACATCAGTGTTGACGTAGGCCTCCTCGGCGGTACACTCCGCCTTGCTGGTGGGGTTGGACAGAGCGAACACTACCGGCCGCTCGTTGTTGGCGCCCATCGCGCGCAGGATGGACGGAGAGAACGCGCCGCCGATGGCCGCCGCGCCTGGGGACAGAGAGAGAGAGAGATTAGAACGTGGATGAGTTCTGATAGATTATATCTTGGAAAGATTCAAAGAAAATGTATAGATTTATAATGTAATTAACGTAAGATGTTTGTAGGCATGACAATTTCATCTATATTTTTATTTATTTGTTTGACATTTATGTAAGTAGAGAATTTTAAACCTATGTATCCCAACGGTGCTGCCATGGCGAATCATGGCGAATCATGAAATCAAATAAGTTTTGAAATAAGTTTTGAAATCATGCCAGGAAAAAAGCTAGTTGAATTAATTTTGATATACACGTCGTCATCAGCTTATCAACGCCCACTGCTGAGCAGAGACTTCTTTCTCACATGAGAAGGTTTGAGCATTATCACCACGCTTGCTCAAGACGGGTTGGTGATTTCAAACTTATAATAATGAAACTATAAGTCCAGGTTTCCTCACGATGTTTTCCTTCACCTATGTCAGTGATGTCTAAATACTCTCAGAAAATACATATGAATCCGAAAAATCACATTGATATTTGCCAGGTTTGAACCCGCGCCCTCGGCAACGAGAGGCGGACCCTTTAACCACTAGGCCACCACTGACTATTTATTTATTTTATTTGTTTGACGTTTATATGAGTAGAGAATTCAAAACCTGTGTACCCCAACAGTGCTGCACACCTAGCGGAAATTTTAAATCATCCCAGGGAGAATCTATTTGAATTACTTTTGATATATACAACTCTATATATTCTATGTATCATACCGATGAGTACGGACGGCTTGACGGTGTCCACGACCTCAGCCAGCGTCCGGATAGGCGGACAGTCCTTAGCGAACTTCTCCTTGTGTTCGTTCAGTCCACCCTCGGGCCTGTTCTTAACGATCAGTCCCTTAGAGTCCACCATGTAGATCCGTCCCCGCGCCTCCTGCTCCGGAGTACCCTCCGCCTTCATCGCCATCACACACAGCTCCGCGATACCGAGAGACGCCTGGTACATATACATGTATTAGTACTGGCATTACTTGAGTCACTCACTGTACACATATGTATATATTGCTAAGAATGTGATTGATTGATTATTATATTGAGATTTATATAGGCGTTAATAAAGAATAATGGCTCCCAAAAGTATATTTGTTTTACTTTTTTTATTTTTTAAGGCAAACACAACAGGTTACAATCAAATAGAGAATATTTCTTAAACATTCATAATATCGAAACAGATTCTAACCCTAAGGGTGCATGCACAACATGACGGGATTGCCAATTATTACAGTTAACAAATTCCAATACAGGGGATAACTATGTATTAGTACTAAACAATAACAACAGTAGGTATATCAAGAACATAATAAAATTAAATTACATAGACTTTACTGTAATTGAATTTATCTACACTAGTTTTTGTTCCCATCTTCTCTCACTTGGTACTAGTACCTCTACAATCTACAGTAACATACTATGTATATACTACGAGTCCACTCAGTGTCTCACCTCCCCCGCTCCTTGAAACACAATCACATTATCCGAGAGTCGTTTGCCGGTGAGCCTCAGACTCGCCAGCAGACCCGCCACAGCCACGGCCGCCGTGCCTTGGATGTCGTCGTTGAAGGTGCAGTATCTGGAAATTAATACAAAAATAATATATAAATAAAAATCATGATAAAATCATTTTTTTTTAAACAGTTCTCATATTCAAACTAGCTTTCCGCCCGCAGCTTCGCCCGCGTTGAGTTCAGTTATATCGCGTTTCCAAGAGAACCTTTCAAAAGTCTGGGATAAAGACTATCCTACGTACTTTGTCATCTATACCAAATTTCATTAGAATCAGTTCAGTGGTTTAGGCGTGAAAGCGTAACAGACAGACAGACAGACAGAGTTACTTTAGCATTTATAATATTAGTAGGGATGACTAATGAATACATGGACCACGTGACTTTTCTATCTACCCTCACTCTACAATGGTAATATATGTATAAATCTAATTCTTTCACATTCATTACTACATTACGAGTATATCAGCTTTATGTCCAATTATTAGTCACAATGATCTATAGTCTATACTAACTTTATTAAAAATCTTTTTAATATTATATAAGCATAACTAATGAATTTATTGATCACGTGACTTTTCTATCTACCCTCATTCGCCTTTGGTAATGTATACATGTAATTCTATCATGAAAAATCCTCTCTAAATCATCCACTGTTACAGAGGTAGGTTCAACTGTTAGTAACTTTAATCTATAGTCCATACTAACTTCCCGCGGTACTTCTCGAGCAGCCTGAACGCGTTCGCGTTACCAAAGTCCTCGAATTGCACCAAACAGTTCTGTCCGAATCTTTTGACCACAGCCTCCATGAACTCCTGTATGAGCTCGTCGTACTGCGGGCCGCGGACACGCCGCTGTCTCAAACCTATGTACAGCGGGTCGTCTAACATAGTCTGGTTGTTGGTGCCCACATCTGGAAAACATAGGAATTAGGTGAAATATATTGTAAATCAAATAAACATAATGAGTACTAAGGTTCTAAATTCAAATTAAATGACAATTTTTGGTGTGTCATATGTCGATATAAAGAGGTTCTAAATTCAAATTGAATGAATACATTTTGGTGTATAAAATCCTCACCGATAGTGATGGGTAGACACTGGTGTGGTTTAATCCCGGCCAGTGCGGTGTACAGCGCTAGTTTCCCCACCGGTATACCCATCCCGCACGCTCCCAAGTCACCCAGACCCAGTATACGTTCACCGTCAGTCACGACGATCGCTCGCACGTCTGTCTCCGGCCTTATGTTGGAAAATATTATTTGAATTTGATGTATTTAATCACATACTAGCTTTCATTGATCATTGACTTCAACCTTATTTTTCTATTTTTACTAAAGTAACTTTTCCATAGCTACACGGATTTCATTATTATTATAGTCTAAATGTTATTATCATGTCTAAGCTACATTACTGGAAAGTTTCTTTAAAACCCGTGTGGAATTTTCAGCATGATAATGCCACAAATATCCATACTTCCACATCATTTCATTTTTACAAAAAAGTTCAAATTAAAAGGATTTTGACATACATTTTTACTTTCAATTAATATAGCGTTTCATTTATTAGCAATGGTAAAAAATTAACAAATCATTGAAATAAACATTACGACAAAAACATTGGAAATCCAACGACGTGTGAATTAAGGAAACGTTTTTGTTTACTTCTAATACACATTAAGGAAACATACGATCTGTTACGTCACACGTCAGGTCTGATGACGTCATGGATTACGTCATACCGACTTTGTTTTTGTAACAGAATCTTTAAGTTACACTTATATGTAAGGCCCAAGAGTCTCATCTGTTACTTTAATGTATATAAAGGAAAAAATATATCATTGAATTTAACAAATTATTTAACCAATTCTGACATAATTCTGAAACGATCGCCATTACAATATAAAACCTTAAAAAAAAAAATACAGAGTAACAATGGAAGGCAGATTAAATTTAATATTTTCAAGGTCAAAGATTCATTTCATCCTACTTAAATATTATACATAATTGCGAAAGTTTGTGAGTGTGTGTGTGTATGTTTGTTGCTACTTCACGCTAAAACGGCTGAACCGATTTTGATAAAATTTTGTATACAGGAAGTTGACGTCCAGGAATAACACATAGGCTACTTTACGCGCGTGTCTGTGTGTGTGTGTGTGTATACTGACCAGTTCTTAAGTATGTCGTACACGTATCCCTTGTCGTTGATAGTGATGAACAGCCCGCGAGGCCTGCGGTACACGAGCCCGTACTTCTGACAGGCGAGGCCCACGGTCGGCGTGTACACTATGGGCATCATCTGGGACACGTTCTCACCGACGAAACGATAGAACAGGTGCTCGTTGCGATCCTAAACGATACAGAACTTCGTCATCAGTCTATCAGAGCCCACTGCTGAGCAAAGGCCTCTTTCTCACATGAGAAGGTTTGAGCATTAATCACCACGCTTGCTCAAAACGGGTGGGTGATTTCAAACTTATAATTGTGAGACTATAAGTCCAGGTTTCCTCACGATGTTTTCCTTCACCATATGTCAGTGGTGTCTAAATACTCTCAGAAAGTACATATGACTCCGAAAAATCACATTGGTACTTGCCAGGTTTGAACCCGCGCCCTCGGCAACGAGAGGCGGGCCCTTTAACCACTAGGCCACCACTGACTTACAGAACTTAATATGCTGGAAATAGTGTCTTACACCTGGAAAGAACTTACTACTTCTGGATTTTCAATACCAGTTTATACATCCCTACTAATATTTTAAATGCGATATTAACTCTGTTCGTCTGTTACGCTTTCACACCTAAACAACTGAACTGATTTTAATGAAATTTGGTACAGACAGAGTTGACCTTGAGAAAGAACATAGGATAGTTTTTATCCCAGACTTTTGAAAGGTTCTCTTGGAAACGCTATATAACCGAACTCCACGCGAGCGAAGCTACGGGCGGAAAGTTAGTGATAATATATTTTCTATAGAGTTTTTCATAGTATATTAAGATTTTCTTTTCAACTTTAGCCATATACTCATTTATATTATGTCTCCGTGATGTATTAGTTAGTGAATCTTCTAAACACCATCTAATTAAATAATTCCCAAGTTTATTGAATCTCATCTCCAAGTTGATCGCGTGTTAAGTATCGCTTAATGTTGATTGATAACAGTTGGTAAAGTTCTCAAACAGATTTATGTTTTAATAACTATAATGTTCATTACAAAACAGTTTTAAAAGATCTCATTTATGAGATTTAATCGTTTAATCGTGAACTTTTTAGACTTTTCAAGGAAAAACTGCATGCTTTATGTATCAAATTTCGGTGCAAAGTTGTAATAATAATACAAAAATCGAGAAATTTTCATTTATATACATATAATTAATACCAAAAATATTCGTATTATTAAAAAATAATGTTTTCCATACATTAAATAAAAAACGTCCGATCTCTTTAATTATAAGACGTCGAAAACTAATTAGGCCCGGTCTGTATAACAATGGCTAGTTATCACACTTTCACATTAATTTGTGTACACTTCGAATTAAATTAGCAAAGTCAATTACTGAAGAGGATTACGATCTCGTTTGAAAAATAAACATCTTTAGTTAGTAAAGTCTTCTTCTTCTTCCTGGCAATTTCCCAGCTGTAGCCAGGGTCTGCCTTACATGTTGTGAATATACTAATTATTTTTACCACCGGCCGCCTGACAGACATCAACCCTTATTGGGAATGCATTAATCAGTGATGTTTAAATACTCGTAGAAAGTACATATGACTCGGAAAAATCACATTGATACTTACCCGGGCCAGGATCGAACCCGCGCCCTCATGCATGAGAGGCGGGCCTTATAACCACTTTTAGTGAAGTCTGTAGGTTCAACTTTCAAGGTCATTTACTCACCAATAATCCCATAAGGTAGATGTACTTGTTCAGAGGATCTTCGTATCGTTCTATGGACAACTTGCACAGTTGTACTTGCTCCTCTTGTGTCTTTACTCTAGGCGGCAACAGGCCATGAATACCCATAGCCTGACGCTCCTCTATAGAGAACGCCATACCCTATGGAGAAATTATATATCATATATGTAACTCATTTTAAATAACAATATTATACATAAATTTATATTTGAATATGGAATTAAAAATTCATAGACATGAGTGGGAATCGAATCTGTATACACGGAATATCGAAAGTCAATCGCTTTGCTAACTAGACTATCGTGTCAACAATTTTTTGTTTAGATTTCATATGAAACAAATGTATGAAGTGTATTAAAACTATGGATGTTTTAAGTGATCAAAATACGAGAAATAGTTTCCGCTTCAAATAACAACTCATTGTATATGTATATACAGGGTGACTGGTGAATTACTATAAATATTTAAGGAGAATACTCGGTACATGATTCTCATTCGAATTATGTAAAAAAAAAGGTACTTAATTTTTGACCAAATTTCCGTATAAATAAATAAAGTGTGGACACGTTCCAAGTGTTCCAAGTGTGGACGCGTGCGGCGGCGTGCTGATACAACACGACGCCGACGACGTAGGGTGTTCACACGGTGCGTAATTAATTACATTACTTTTGGTTAACTTCACTTAGAAGTTTATTAATATTTATGTTATATTAATTTGTATTTTGTCATATATGATCGTCAAATATCACGTCCTCAAATATCGATAGTAATTCACCAGTCACCCTGTATATACAAGTTTGTCACAATTAAGGCATCATCAAAATTAGCTATTAAAAATACAAACCAGTTTTTACTCTTCAAGTTATCACATTATTACAATATTTATAAGTATATTTGATAAATAAATTAGTCGAGTTTCTATATTATTTGGTGTTAAATCTAAAGATATTCTCATTATAAATTCTGCCATGTATTTAACATTTATCGAATGGAACACAAAAAATAAAATAACGTATACATATAAACTAAGGTCACTGTGTGTATGTTATAATGTTCCCCTGTAACTAATGAACATCCTAAACTAGCTTATAATCATAAATTACGTAAATATTATGTTTATATATATGTATCTTAGAAATAAATTGTCTTGCAGAAACAAAAGCTTTTTATTGCATTAGAACACAGTTCTACAAAAATTTCTTTGTATTTATAATTATAATTTTTTTAACAAAAAAAAGTTTTCTAGACACATAAGATAATAAAATAATTATACATGTATAAGACACAAGTATAGACTGTATATAAATAATTTCAACGATGAAACTACATAGTATAACTTTACGTAATTAACCTCTGTTACTGGACGTGGTACTTTGAACCTCCTTACACTACATAATACATTGTTTACATGTGTTTATATAAAACAAATATGTATTTATATATAAAGTTACTATCGAGGAAATATTCGCTTAAAACTCTTCTTCATCTACCTGGCAATTTCCCAGCTTTAGCCAGGGTCTCCCTTACCTACATGTTGTGATTTGTGTTTGGCTAATTGTTTTTACGATGTCGCCTGCCTGACATCAACCCTCTTTGGGAATAAATATTCCCTTAAAACTATATATTTATAAAGCTATTTTCATCCCTATCACAATTTTGTATCATCTTTTTATGTTCATTTCTTAAATCGTCGCAAAATCTAGTGACAAGGCTTTACGATAGATATATGTATTTATTTCGTATGTAGTATAAAGAATTGTTTTCGTTGCAAAATCAAACAAAAAATTTAAATTCATATACAATATCATCACGTGCTAAGATTTATGAAGGAAAAACTTTAAACCGTCTGTATTCAGTACGTACATATAACCCTTGGTAAGAATAATGTATTATCTGCCTCGCTATAATCTCGGAGTGTAAATATATCTTTAATCAGCAATTATATGAGACGATTGAAACAAAATGTAAATATTTACAATAGAATGTTGTTATGACGTATGTGTAACCGGACTTTGTAAATTTCCTTCAAATCATTGATTTTAATTGATGTAATAGTTATTTGCTTACTTCATCAATAAATATGTAGGCAAAGTCTTTTAAAATGTAATAAACAATATATTATACATATCGTCGGGGATAGTGCAAATCCGCGTAACTACATTAAAAGAAAATTATCAGAAGAAAGTTTGAGCTGAAATATTTTCTAAATTAACGACTTTTAAGTAATTTTTTCACAATTAGTAATAAATTAAACACTGAATAATAACTAATTGTGAAAAAAATAATCCTCTGATAATTTTCGTCATATGTAGATAGGCGGTATTATCCAATGGTAGTTAGTTATTCGGATTTGCACTATCCCCGACGATATAGGAATTGTATCGTCATAATAAAATGCATAGCATAGTATAGTTGTAACACTAGTAATATATACAAATGTCCGTATCAAAGAGTAAATGAATAATTGTAATTACAATGACAGGTGATCGTTTGTTTGAATACAATGGTAGGGGGCGCGGTCGTTACGTCAGCAAACACAAATACATATATAGAATGATATTACATAACATTATATACATATATACATACTATAAAAAAAAACTCCTAATACGCTTCTATATGTATAATATTTAAGAGGATTTTAACTTTGAACAATTTCAGTCTTGTTTCGAAATATTCGTCGTAGCTTACGATAAAGAGAACTAAATAATGAAAGTCATTATACATAATATTTCACAGACAAAATTCAACCAGTATTAACTCTATACGTCTTAAAATGAAGTCACTATATATGTTAAACGGACATCAAATCACAATTGAAAACAAACATCACTTTGTGTATTAATATATGTTTTAATTGTATTTACCCTCGAGTCTATAGCCGCTAAGCTGTCTGGTACGCAGAACAGTTCACGTCGTGGAGTCAACTGCCACCAATCTCTTTCCATTTTCTCGTCCAATTTCATTCATTAAAATTCCTACCCAGTCTCAATTTATTTAGGGTTTAAATTTGCTTCTTCTTTAACTTCACTACTATTCTTGTTTACACTTCATTAAATATACTCATTTGCCTAATATTTTTAATCTTCAACACCCGTAGTAAAGTTACACTTAAAGAACTTCTAATTTTAATTTATTACATGTTTTTGTAATAATATTATGAAAACTTCCTTTTTTCATACTATCCGATCCAACTGAAATACCCTTGTTGCAATAATGTTAAATATTTATACGAAATTGCACTGACGCCATATTGTCGATCAATACTCAACACTCGCGTAATGAAACTCATCATAATAATTTTCTTCCTTACCCTTGATCTATTTAATTCAATACGAAAATTTCATTTAATAATATACACTATGTAATATTGTAAACTCCAATACTGTATTCACTTGTAAATGTTTCAATGTTAGAAATAACGAATCCATGATACAAAATTAAAAGATTGCTTCTAGAAAATTCTCCAATGTGCCTTTCATTGATGTTCAATCTCATGTTTTCTAATCGATTTAATTATAAGGGAGGAACACAGAGGCGACTGGCGAGTCTTTTGTAAATAGTATTTGACTTATAATACTTGACTTATCGATATTACTAACTACTAAATTATCAATAATATTTTAATTAATTATTCAATAAACATATACGAGTATATACAGCCATTTATATTTATACATTATTTAGATTCGTATTAATGTACAACTAAGTCACTGACACTGACAGTTAAAATTATTTGACCGCCAAATCTTTTCGCAACAGGTGTGTCAGTTGCCACAGACTATAAATTGTTAAATGGCTGACACTTAAAATGCAAATTTTATATTACTTGATCGATTTATTCTGTTCCAATTCATTTTATAATTGCAATATTAAGTAAATTCGCCTACTATTAACATAAATTTTATGAGTGTAGCAATTTCTGTATTTCATGTTATCATTGTTATCTTGCAACTTGCTAAATACTCGTTTAATAAAATATACAAGTTTCACTAATTAACATAGAAATTATAACAAGCATGTATATTTTACTGTACCTATTTTCAATGCTACTGTTTTTTTATATTAGTATAAATTAACTAATTAACGACAGGCAATCGAGGCAAATGAATTGTTTCCGAATTTTGATGAATTCAATTCTAATTTTTAACAACAATTCAGTGTCTTACATTGTTAATTATATGAGTCTCAAAACAAATAAAAAAAGACATTCAAAGAGCTACAAATAAATTATTAATTATGTTTAAGGATATAATTTTCTAAACAAAAAACATGGAAAACTTTAGTTCAAATAGAATTACCCAAATGTTACTATCTATAAAACCATAGTGCGTGCGTCATCGAAATTTCGATTTGTGACTAAGTATTTCCTTATTACTTCATTATAGAAACGGTATTGATTGACTGTTCTTATTTGTAAAAAGATCTTATGTCCGGCCTAGTATGAAAAAAATAACTTATTTTTAATTAAATCCTCACAACTACGCCATATGATACCACTAATTATTGTATGAAATATTACATTTTTATCTATAGTAACATGTTAATAAAGATATTTATACACGACGCGGTTATTCATCAAGAATCATTGAGTTCTATTGAGGGTATAAAATTATTGATTTATATTGTATTGACAAAGCAACCTTCAATTTAAAGCAAGGGCAAGGACCTTTAATAAGTAGGTTAAAAAGACCTACCGGCAAGGTGGCTCGGTTGATTGATTGTACTGATCTTATGATCACATTACTATTACATATTACCTTGGCGGTTGGCGCGTTGTACGGAAATAGATCTGGAATATTGCAATTCCATAAATAGATTTCAAAAATGGAATTGGAATAAAATGGAATGAAACACTGTTGTATGCAACACAATCGTATCCCAGTATCGAACTAACGACCGAAAGTGTTGGGAAAGTGGAAAAAAACTGTTTATCTGAAGTTTACTCGATTGTCATGGTAACGATGATACGGACGCCGATAATGACAAAACATATACAGGGTGACTGGTGAATTACTATCGATATTTGAGGACGTGATATTTGATGATCATATATGACGAAATAACAATTAATATAACATAAATATTAATAAACTTCTGAGTAAAGTTAACCAAAAGTTATGTAATTAATTACGCATCGTGTTACATTCATATATGTATATACATACATATTACATTCTTCATACGTTACAAGATTTTTTGATTTATTAACCATTAAGTGATATTTACAAATTACATGTTTACCTAATATAAATTTCTAATTAATAATAAGTTTTCACATGGGTCGATTTACTTGCAATTTTAATTTTATTTATGCGATATTCGTAGGAACATAATTGTAGTTTAATTCGGTTCAATCTTTTTTGAGTGAAAGGTAAAAATGTATCGTAACATTTTGATTCCGTTCTCATAAATTACGCAAAAAGATTATTTAATTTTAGTATTGTTTAAAAAAAATACAAACGTATTGAAATCCGTCTCTTTTTTTGGAATTCGGTTAAATATCATTTAAAAGAAATTACAGTTAAATAAAAATTGAGTATTCATTTGAGTGTAATTTTCAGTATTTAATGAGTAATTTTAAATTTACTCAAAATATTAACACCGATAATATTTTAAGCACTTGACTTAAAGACAATCAATTGAAACTTTTGGAATATCACTGATTTATGTTTTCAAAAGTTTAATTTTAATATAAATAGAAATAAATTACCTTAAAAAAATATCTTTTTATTGGAAAATCCAATAAAACCTTTTTTCATAATAATTGAAATGTTCTGAATATAACCAAAATTTATTTCAGATATTATTTTAGAAATAGGAAGAAAATTACTACGGAGTTGAAATGGTTAATGTAGCTGACAAATATATATATATATATGAAATATATAACTAAATATTTATTTAAATAAAATTACATAAAATATAAATAATCGTGTGATTGCAAAAATAACATTTTTTGAAAATCCTTATGTAAATTTTTGTGTTCCTATATTTATGTACCTTAAATTAAATTAATTTAATACATATTGGGGAAATACTTTATTATATAACGATAGTTACATACTATAATAACTGTGTCAGTTTTCCTTCTTTAATCACGTGTTTAATAAAATTATTAAAATCAAATGTAAATATAAATATTTGCTTTAAAATAACATTCAGATTATTGAGATAAGAAAATATAAATATTATATACTGAGTATTATTGTTCGTAGTATACAAAGCATTTTAAAAGTACATAAAAACGAAACCTTTCTTTAATCTATACTGTATGCTTAGTAGTAGTAGTTCGCATCGGACTACCAACTGAGAGTTTACAATTAAAGTATCAACGTAGGTTATAGAATGAGAAACGGGAAACGGTTAGTATCACGTTATGTCACGATGCTGTCTTGTGGTAAAAATATTAAGAGCAATATGAACGTATTAAAATAAATCAATGCACCAAGTACTTATAATCTGATTATATATCAGTAGATAGCTTTATATTTGATTATCAAAGATAAAAAAATAATATAAATATGAAATAAAATATATTTATGTGTATACATGTGTGCGTTTACACGCATACACACACACACACAAATACGTGTGTGTTTACGGAACATTTTATACGTAATCATTTATACAAATATATACACAAAAACACACAAGTGATTCTAAAGAGCAATGAAGGTACTTGACTGTGATGACGAAATAAAATTTAATATATATTTTATTGAAGTACGGAAAGGGTAATTTGTTTCAAGGTCGCATTAACTGGCGATATTCAAATTATTCCCCTACAAATTTAAGCTTAGTAAGAGTCGAATCTGTATGCAGTCCAACGAATACGTAAGGGTGTGTGTAGTGACAAATGATTGTCAACTTTATGTATATTAACTTTATAGTATAATTTACTTTGTACTGATATAGGAACTATGTACATATACAGAACGAAATGTATGACCGAACTCATTAAGATCGAAAGTATTACAACATAGTCGCGGAAATTGATCTCAGAATATGAAACTAATGTTTGAAATCAGAGTTCAAACAAAACATTGAACGAGTACTAAGGTAATATGTTATTTGTATGTATTATGTATTAGTATGAATTACCTTATTAAGTCCGGGATGTTTAAGCCGGTCTAGGCCAGATAGTTTGCTGTTGGACTGCCCATCCCCGGATCCCCAAACACCGATGCGATCTCTTTCCATACTGTACGTGCACGTTCGACTGCCAGAGAGCGACTGCTTGCCAACCTCTGGTTGATTCGTGTTTTTGTCACGCGGCGCGGGGGGTGCCGGGCTCATTGCGGTCTCACTCCTGGGAAAACGGGAAAATTGTTTCAGTACGCTATCAGCTTGCGGTTTCCGCCGCCCGGCGATAGATGGCGTTGGAGCCTTGACCTAAATTTATGCACGATTGTTATCGTATGATGAAAATGTAGGAAAAATATAATATTTTTTTATTATAATTAATATTATACTTAAAACTTGTGTTACATAATAATAACAGACTGTGTTATTGCTTTGTTTTATTCCATCTGTGCGATCTATTATTCATAAACGTCACCTTCTATTCTGTCAAAGTCAATTCTTTAATCATATAACAATAGATTTAAAAGCAAATATTATGAAAAATATTACACAATATTTTTAAATATTTTATCATATTTTATGTCATAGGTCATTGACCTGTGGTTATAATAGTGTCGGTAATGAATGAAACAGTTCAGAAGGTTCGGTAACCTTTTATCATTGTTATCGAGAGCGTGCGGTTTTCATGAACAAAATGTATCAACTGAAATAAAATAATAGAATGGAAATTAAAAAGATTACATCGTCTGAAAGTAATGCTTTACGATTAAAATGTATCAAATTGTACATATTATGAGGTGTATAATGTATAATAAATAGGTTTTCATACTAAAATATTGTTGGTGATGCGAAAACAGCTGTCCTTCAAAGCTAAACATCTTTATTTACGTATATTTATTTTCTCAATCTCAAAGAAAACAAAACTATCCTTCAATCGTAAATAAATCATATCTCACTACTTTTAGTTAGTGATTTTAATATATTTGTAATTTACATCGCTAACTACTCAGACATATAAAGACTTCGATGTACTAGCTTATACTGGCGACATCATCTGTTTTTTTTATTGTATTTTTTCTTAACATGTCTTCTTGCTGATAAATTTGAATATTTTTTGCTATATAATATATACTGTAACCAAAGCTCTAGCATTTACTATTGGTGACAAACAAAAAGACAATATTAAAACGATATTTTATTACTAACGTTAATACTACGTCTTTCCCTCACATCTAATGACTAATAAGTATCGTTGCGTAACGTATTATATCTGTATTCATGGCATGAGTTTTATATACATATATGATTTAAATTATACAAAACACAATCTATGGCCAATGATATGATACTTTAATGCTACCAAATATTATGAGATCTAAGATTTTCGCGAGATTTATTAATTTAAATGAAACTATTATTATTCGGATTATACTAAGCGACTTTATCTCATCTGTTCTTGATCTTGCTGAAAAGTAGCCGAAACATCGGGAGTATGTAGTTTTTGACGAAAATACAGTCGCGTAGTATAATCCGAAAATAATAGTTACTACCTATGTTTTAAAGGCTATTGTTTCTACATCACCTACAGCCTACCTACGAACCTACTTGTAACCAGATCCAGTACACAGTCCGCCTCGTGCTTGCAGGAACAGGTCATCACTGAAAGGTGACACATTGAACAAGGGTCACGGGTCAATGACCTACCAAATACCTACTTATAATGAGATCTAACTATCTAAGGCTATCTAAAAACTATCTAAGATTAGCTTTTAGTGTTCTTTTAAATCTCGTCTGCCCATGATCGCGGTTGATGAAAAATAACCGAAACGTCGGGAGTATGTAGTTTTTAAAATTAATAAAGCAGTAGTAATTCGAAAATATTAGTTTCATTTACTAATGACAACTAACGGCCTAATGACTATATTACTACTTAGAGCAAAGCGTTTTATTACTTAAAGGGTCGTCTAACGGATTTAAGCTAGAATTAACTTTCCACCATCGACGGTGACAGTTGTTAGTCCATATAAAAAAAATCTTTTAAGTTGTAATAAAATTATGAAATATTATTTCTATTGATCAGTTGTGACTTGTGTACAACTAGAGTTATTTATTCAAATGCATTTAAATGTATCAGTTGCGGCGGAATCAGGAAAACGACAACTTTTTTGTACCATTTAGAAATAATGATAACATATTGCAATAATATCTAACAATTGCAAAATATCTAGGGATTTAATGTGACTAATATGATTTTGACTTAATTTTTTATATTAATGTTATAGAACATTTATTTATTGAATAAATATTTAGTAACTTTCGCTCATGATGACGTTGTAGATTAATAATGAAAAACTGGAAACGCTTCGTTAGAAGTGTGGTCGAAACTCATAGTAAGGATACATGTGCGAAAATATATGAAAATGTATTTAATTTGACTATGAAAACTAATTTCAAGAGCACTATTATTTATTATATGATACTTTAGTAAGGATAGTTAAATGCTTTGTTCATACGAATAGTAATTCGTCCTTGGAAACAATAAACAATGGATTGGGAACAATGTCCAATTTATTTATTGTAATATATATGTATAATAATATTGCTTTGTTCATACTTTATTTACCATTTTCAAAGAATTATTAAAAAAAACTATAAATATAATACTTTCTTTATACAACTACATAATAAAATACAATATTTTATATATTTATATTTATTTTGTATATTTTTTATATTTATTTTGTATATTTTCACGAGCTTTATATAACTACTTGAATTAATACTATGGGAAGAAAGTAAAGAACCATACCACAGTTTCTTATCCACGAAAAAGGTTTTAATGTCGTTCAGAATAGCTATAAACAAAAATAATAATTAGGATATATATTTTATACCAATCGCTTCAAACGGTTTTGCTCGCATATTTGTAATATTTAATAAATAATGTATCAATAAATTGTAATCTTTATGTCTACAGTTTTATGGTTTAGAATTGTCATAAAATTTTATATGTAAAATATTTTAAGACATATTTTTGATAATATAATAATAAGGGTTTTGATACCAAAACTAGTTTTTTAATCGAAAAGAATACATATATTATCCGCAAAAAGTGAAAAACTCGTCTTTTCTATCGTCCGTACAATGTGAAGTGTTCAAGGGAGTCTTGATATAGTTTATAGTTGTAGACTATAGTTGTAAACTTGTAGTTGTAGATTATAGTTGTAGACTTTTCAAACCAATAAAACAAGCTACGATGTTTTATATTATGCTTTCTTATTGAGAAATTCCATGAGTGACGTTCAAAAAATGGACCGCCTCTTGCATTGACACCAAGTTAAAATATATATCCCTACTAATATTATAAATGCGAAAGTAACTCTGTCTGTTTGTCTGTAACGCTTTCACGCCTAAACCACTGAACTGATTTTAATGAAATTTGGTACAACCATAGAGTTGACCTTGAGAAAGAATATAGGATAGTTTTTATCCTAGACTTTTGAAAGGTTCTCTTGGAAACGCTATATAACCGAACTCCACGCGGGCGAAGCTGCGGGCGGAAAGCTAGTATATATAAAAAAGGCATTTTGCGGATGCCGAACTACGTATTATAATTGGACATTATAGTTTTAATTACAAGCAACTCCTTCATTATTTAACTAAATTATTATTTTTATTTAACTAAATTATTCATTCCTTAACTAAAGAAACATATAAAAAGCCTACCGTCATATAAAGAGGTGTTTAATTCAATTAAATATTTCCTGATCGTCAACTTATTATTGAAATATTTATATGAATGAATTTGTATTTTTCCCTCAAGTTTCATAGAAATAAGAAAATGGATCTCTTTTGTACGTCTGTATGAATTCATTACTTAATTTATATTTTTTGGGAAATTTAGATGAATAAAAAAAATCATTAAAAGGTTATCTTGAATCAATGTAATATAATTCATTTTTTTATGACATAACAGTTTATATGTGAAAAAAATTATCATGTTCTTAAAATATTCACATTTATTAATACTATTAACTTTATCGGACGATAACATTGGCTTTTTTAAATACACGAAGTAGTATTATATGGAAAAATTCAACTGCATTAAATGTTAATTTTAAATTAATATTGTATTATTTTAGGAAACTGGCACTAACAGTTGAGAAAAAATATTTACAAACCATAGCACTAAATCATTAAATTTTAAGATTTAATTTGAATTAAAAACATATTTTTATTGAGTTTCCCTCAATTTTCTATAATCGGTTTTGTATTATTATAGTTTACAACAATTATAAACAACCACGACTTAGTTAAAACGATTATCACTTTATTTTCTTATATGAGAATATATGATAGAAAAATTAAGTCCAAATTCATATTAAATAACCAAAACAATTATTTGATCTATTCAAAATTGGTTTTCCATACAACTTCTGCAAGAACTTAAACATTCTTCTACATTAATAACAACTATATATAAAAGAATTATTAAATTTCTTTTATATTATATTAAACTATTAATATATAACGTCATTATACTCACAGTTTTTTCCTCGCGTTACTCGCGCCATTCATTTGACGGGTGTCAATCTGTCCGTTTGATTTGACTTTGCGATTCAGATATTCCATTTTTTTGAAAAAAGATTTTATATCACAGAGTATGTATAACTTTAAAACCTCTTTCGTTAATTAATTGGAAATATAAAACCTTTTTGGTGTTATAAATTTTGATTAAGAGTGTCACAGAGCCCAGGCTCCTAAATGACGACTGGAGGTCGGCGTTGGATGATCGGTTTAAATACTGTGCAGTTATCTTGTGTATTATGGCGAATTATTAACGAGGGTCAAGGTCAAGCAATGAGATACATGAGCACGCATTTCGTTGTTAAATGTCAAATATATTTTAACGAAGAATATTTTGTATTGAAATGTTTTCTTCTTGCTGGCAATTTCCCGGCTATAGCCAGTGTCTGCCTTACATGTTGTGAATAGTTTTGGCTAATTTTTTTTTTACGATCGGCCGCCTGACATCAACCGTCTTTTTGGGAATATATTTTTTATAGAAATGTCTACTTCAAGTCGTATAAAGCTTAGAAAAATTATCACCAGAAATGCACGTGATCCTGTTATCAATGATCGTATCAGGATGCATTGAGTTTTTAATTCAGTGAAAACAAACATTGAATACAACTATATATGCATATCTTTTAAAAGTAAATTGATTAGACTAAATATCCGCAGTATAAACGAAATAGATAAAAATCAAGATATTAGGTAATCATAATTCACGTGACAATTTATATTATAGAAATAATAATAAGAAATATTCGTTAATTAATTAATTTTCTTAAACAGAAGTCTTTAAAATATGTATTTTAATGACGGGCAACTAATTTCATATAAGCACCAATAATTTTCCTTCATTCAACGGACTTACAATCAAAGCTAGTACGAATATTTTTAATAAATCTCAAATTATATTTAGTATTTACATACAGTCGTGAACCAAGCGACCTGTCATATCACAAGCGGTAATTTCCTATACATTAGGTAAATATTTATCTTTATAATAGTATATATATAATCTATACTTTTTATAAGTATTGAAACAGATAAAAAAACTTTATCGTTTGATTGTTACATGATAAAAAAAAATCATAATCACGTTAGATATTTTCTATAATTAATATAATAGAATAGGATACAATGATTTGTAAAATTCAGGCGAATAAAAAAAAAAGTTAATACGTACGGTAGTTTTTTTAATGATTTCTGAACGTGACGTAAAAAAAAATTCCTTATAAATTGTTCAAATATATTAAATATATCAATTAACATAATATGTGAGCAATATATTAGTAATAGAATGTCATATAAAGGTTACCTGTGATTTATTAGATAATACCAGCCAATATATATTTAAAATTACATTGTAATCACTCAATAATGATGACAAATTAAAAAATAATAAAAAATACAGATAATATAACGAATATTGAAAAAAATAGATTATTAGAAGTACAAACTAAATGCTAAACAAATAATTATACTTGCCTTACGTGAAACGTGGTTAAAATTTAACTCAGTCTTAACCTTTTTTTAATATAAGTATAATTATATTTATTTACTATAGTAACAGTATATATTGTAAATCGTGTTTTAGTGAGTCACTGGCTGACAACGAATGATCTCTGCGTGAGTGATGACAAGATCAGAGCAAGGGCACACTTACTGGGCTTTAGAAATTATGTTTGTATTATTACCACATAGTACTCAAGATTATAATTTGTTTAACAAATAAAAAAAGTTGACATCGGAAGAATATATGACGATTCTAGTGCGAATGTAGCCGTAGGATTAAAAAAAAAAGTTATGACATTTTCAAACATAACTTAAACATGACATATCTATACAGATATTATGACATATTACGTAATATAAGTAGAACATATACATACATTATAGAACACATATTAATGCTTTTATTCCAAAACTCAGTGATGGACTTCAAATTTATATTTAAGGTATTTACTACAAAAAGTGTAAGTAAAATCTTATTTTATTTGAGATTCAATAATTATCTTTAGAATTAGAAGAAATGTTTATACTTTCTTTTCACATATATAAAATATTATTGAATTATAACAAAGATCTAATATAACAAAAATCGCTAAACGCTTTTGACTTAAACAAAATAACATACCGGTTAATATTGACAAAAGGCATTAAGTACGAAACAGAAACGTCCTAACTCTCTCCGTAATACGAGTGTAAATCATTACTTCATACGAGAAGTCTCTCGTTTTTCACTGATAAAACATCTCACGTCATAGTATTAACGTAAGTTATTGTATGAGAAACATGAAACGCGAAGTATTGAGTGTGAAGCAAACTTGTGCTAAGCATACCGATCTCTATTGTAATTCTCGTTATATGATTATCCGTTACTTAAAGAACCATTATTTAATTGAAATTCTATTGTGACAATAAAGAGGTATATCCGTTTAATTTTGACAGAGACTTTTGATTCTGTTTCTCAATTAATCGTTCATTTTTAATATTAATCATATTATTTTTAATATTAAAATAGCAATTTTGAAATTATATCCTATAGTTTTCAACATACTCGCACTTTGTTATATATTTACAAACATTGATTTCACAGATAATTAATATATACATATATGTATAAAACTTACACAAGAAACTAACTTACAATAAAATATCTTCAGTACGAGCCTACGACAAAAACTTTAATATCAACAAAAGGTTCATATCTTTCATTTACAATAAATACTTCTTATATAATATTATAAATTTATATAAAACCTTTTTACTAGTAAACCTCTTTACTATAAAATTTTCAATACAAGATTGAATTACATTATTCAATACAACGATTTTGAATAGTACATAACAGAACCAAGGAGTTCCCAGTTCTGAAAACATGGACTACATTATATTAGAGTTATTAATTTAAAATTCGCTTGTCAATAGCATCATGATTCATGTATATATATTCTTTTTGTTGTATTGGTCGCTGTAACAAACTCACCTGGCCGACTACGAGCAAGGTTAAGATTAATTGTAATCATGAAATGAAAAGTACACAATTATAATTTTTTGGCTTTGATATATTATTTACATTTAAAAATGCGTATTACGTAACTAATGACTTGAGCCTTGTTAATATTTAATATTAAGGTTAGTGAAAAGAAAAGCCATGATATTTATAATGAATGAGGCCTTACGACATACATTAACTACGGAAAATAATAATTGCGACTTATAGTACATTGAAATAATTTAATATTTTGTTAGTTCGTAGTGGTTTATGACGTAACTAATTCAAGGCAAGTTATTAACAAACAACTCAGTGCGGATGTTAATATTGCTGCAATCACTTCGATGCACCACAGACGACCGTGACGCTTAAAAACGAGTACAAAAAGATTCGACTCCGAAATCGTTCATAATAAAAAAATCATATTCTCTATGATATTGATACACTATAAGATTATATAGAACGAAAATATAAGTAACCACCTTTGAAAACTATACATATATGAAATGATTTTATGTATTATACGAGTATCCAACTATACATGAAAATTTTGTTAATCGAATTCTCTTTCTTTAGAAACAAAAAACGTTGGTTGCAATCGATAAATGATAGTTCATATTTGGACTAAAGCATCAAGTTCGTGTATTAAATGGGACTTTTATAAGGTGAACTCCTCATTCAGCTCAAACTTTTGTTCCTATCGAGACTCTACTTCCTTTTCTCATCCATTCTTCAAAAAAACCTTAAACGATCTTTCAAGAATCAAGTGTACATAGATTGAATATTATTAGATGGACTGTACGTTAGTTTGACGTTATAAAAGACTTAAAAACTCCATTAATATCAAGGTATCAACTGCTAATAACCAGACACTACACGACCTCAACACTCAACCGATCTACTTTCAAGTTATAAGGTTAACATATCAAATGCCTTCATCATTGTCAAGTTCTGTTCTTGGACGTCATTGAGATTCGCGAAACAGTAATCGGGGTCGTCGGCATAAAAAACTATTGTCAATTTGTCACTGCTTAAGCTAAGAACTTAATTTATGGCTTGGACCTTGATCCACATGTTAAACGAGTGGAAGCTATGTCTTAATGTAATTTTATATTATCTACTTACCAAAATATAAAAGTTTAAATCCATTTGTTGAGTATATTTACATTACGATTGTGTTACATTTCGCATTAAAAAATCCATGTTTGAGTTAAATTTTGTGACAAATATTATATCATTAGAATGAGCAAATGCAGCTTCATAGATACTTTTCGGTTTCGTATTTGAATCGGAACCAAAAAACTACATCTTATCTAAGACTATGCTTTTAATACAGTTATAAAACACTTAGTCATAGTTTCTCAAAGAACATTCAAACGTTCAAATCATTTGTTAAACAGCATAAAGAGTTTTGATTTTGTAGTATATAATTCGACGTACATTGTAGTGTCAATACTACATATATTAAACATAGCTTGTTGAAAGTGATACGGGAAACGCTTCGTATGTAGTGTGGAGTATAAACATGGACTATGGATACAATTGTTATCATTTGAAATACGAAACATTCACCCTTAGCTACATATATATTTATATTTAAATGCTATTTACTGCGGAAATTAAAGAGAAAGACACGACTTGTAATAAAATATTTAAAACAACGATGTAAAATATTTTATCTGCTACTTTCTAAATATATTTTCACATAGATTTTAAACAATTGACACTATTTCTTTCCCTCTTGGTTAGTGGCGCTTCCATATAAATTTCGCCAATATTGAGTTTATTTATTTTTTATTTAGTTGTGATTTTTAACTCTCCAATAGACTCATCAGCAATCTAATCTATAAATGGAACTTACTTTACCAAATAATTAGAATTACTCAACTAATACATTAACTTCGCCCATTTTTGTAATAGTTGTTGAATATTTATTTCTAAGAAATAAATAACATACTAAAACAATGATATAATTATTATTTAACGACGGCATCAACATTTATTCTCGTTTTCTTGTGTCACGTAGTGTTCCACTATAGATTATTTAAAATCTACGTCAAAACATAAAATTGTGTAATGAATCCTGTTTATCTAATCAATCTGATTTTAAATGTTTCTCTAATACATAACAAGGAAGTTTTGAAGAAAATACCGTATAACGTATTAAGACTTTAATAATTTTCTCCTTTGTGAAATCGTGAAATATTTTGCAAATGTCAACGTATTTATTTATAAAATTTTCAGTTAAGAAATTATAATGGCGGTACATTAGAATTGGTCGTGTCAAATGTCACATAAGTACTCAATAAAGTGACTTTTACTTTCGATAACAAATAAATCTTGTGTTATATTTCGCCAATCTTATGTTTTAGAATTATTTTATTCCAAAGCAAAATTACTGATGCTTAACAGCCATGAAAAACACACTTAAAATCTGATTTACTAATCCTGATAAAAAAAGTTCTAATTTTATTACCTTTTAGGTAAAGGTCATTTGATAATTGTATTTATTTTGTGTAAAATATCAGAATAAAGAATAAAAATATCTCATAGTGTGGGTTGCAAAAGCAAATTTACATAAATAAAAATAATATAAGTGAAACTTTTTAATAAATAAATAACTGTATATTCTTGATTAATATTCCATGTTAGTTATATTTAAATACTTATATTACAAGTATTAGACGTATGTAGGTATAATTCATTTTATATAATTTTTGCAATGACTATTTATTCCGCACGTAATTAATTGTTATTACATTTATTTCTAACGCACCTGCATAAAATACATATAAAAAATAAATAAAAACATTTCATCACATATACATATAAACGTAAAAAATAAAATCATTATCAAATATAACTTACTTCCATTTTCTTTTATCATTAACTTTGAGGGAGGCAGAATTTCCCATCTTCGGAACACGAACGATATTATTCACTAAACACTTTTCTTTAACTAACGATTGTTAATGAGATGTTAAATTTAACTTAGAAACGCGTCTAAGCCAAACGACTTTCTGAGACACTATAATCGCACAGGTAAATGCAATTGCTGACCCTGACTTTCGCTTATATCAATTAAACTGTAATTTAGTTTTTACGAGCTTTTTCTATATTATCATAGATATAAATTTCTTATTCAGAATGAAAATCGAAAGTCTAAGAAGTAATTAATAGAAAAGACAATATTTGAAGTTCACAACAAACTAAACTTAAAAGACCGTTATCTTTTCCATCCTTTAATACTAGATGTCACTATTGGACTTAGTGCCTTGAAAGAAATTAACTGTACCGAAATATTATTAGTTAAGGTTAATTTATAATATATATGAAAACTTAAAAAAGTATTTTTTATATATTTATATTTAAGTAGACTAAAATTATTTACAGGTTGAAAAACAAAATGTCAAATTGTTGTTTCGTTGACGTTTACGAAAACTAATTACTAAATATGCAGGTTAGGTTATTTTTAAAAGCCTCAATATTATTATTGTAATTTACGCTTAAGAAAATTAAATGGTATTAAAAATATTTATTTCTGTATCTTTAAACTACTCATAAATCATAAGACAGGACGTAGAATAAGAATTAAAAATGAAAAAAGAAGGTGAGATTTTTAAGAATAATATGGACCTGTTTCATATGTAATAAACTTAAATTTTATTCTATACTTTCTATTTTAATTTCAGAGGTACAAGAAATATTTCTTAAATTTCTCCGAGAAGAAGAAGATGTATCTGCTGGAGTTGCAGCTATTAAAACCTTGTTGACTGTCATAGAAAATTATAAAGGTAAGCTCAGATCATATATCATGAAAATATAGTACACCAATGTAGACAACAAATATTCGAAATGGCTAAACTATGCTCCACTAAACTATTTACATAAATGTATATAAAGATATAATATTCAAGAAAAAATAAAGAAGAATCAATATTTATGGGCAAGCTTTGAGATTTTGTTACATAGTGAATAATTAACAAGTACAAAATGATTTGGAAAAGTGAAAACTGTAGTTTTGAAAAGGGACTCGACATTATATTTCAATTTAAAGTTATAGAATTTAATTACCTGATTGAAAATAAGTATAATAAGAAAAACTGATTAGTTACCTCCATACAGACTCATTAATTTTGATTGGATTCAAAAATCAAACAACAACTGAACCTTGTACAGTAACTATGTAATTTAACAACATTTACGTACAACAATTAAGTGAACAACAATATTAATGTTCCTTATATAAACTGCATGCAAATCAAATAACAATACAATATGTACATAGAACATAAAGATGTGTGGTCTAAAACAACACCTATATCATTATGAAAATCAATAATTCTAGTGGCTACAGTCCGCGAGTTGGACCTCAATCTTCAATTAGCGGTGGATGCGATGAGACACTGTGATCAACCTGTCGCTGCTATATCCTCGGGGTGTGAACTATTTATGAGATTTATAACATTAGCCAAACTTGATGTTAAGGTAAGAAAATCATATACAAATTACTGTTGTGAAATAATTTTTAGAAATACATATATTATATGCATCAAAACTAACAAATTATTACAAATATTGTGTTCATTGAAGTAATTTCATCAAAATTTGGATAATAGATGTACCTGAGCAATTATATTTAAATGAAATTAAAATGATAGATAGGTTTTTTAATATAGCAAGTAGCAACTACAAATTCTTACTTTAGAATGTATTGCAAAATAATTTTGTCATGTCAAACTCTCAATGACATATAAAAATCTATCCAATGTATTGAAAATTTTAGTGAAGTTTCTCTTTTGATCAATGAAAAACAAGCATTATATATTAACAAAAATCGTATGACATAATAAAGATTTTCTTTTTATTGTCTATAAAGTATAACCTCCTGATAATTGAGTAATTTTTGATTACACCAGATATAATATTAATCAAAATATTTATTTCCTATTTTTAACAATTTCTTCTATTACCATTCTACCATAACTAGTAACTACCTATTATAATATGTATTTCTGTTTCCAGTCATTTGAAGAATGTGAACAAATTATGTTACAAAGAGGTCGGATATTCTTAGAAACTTTATTAGAAGCTAGAGGAAAAGTTGCCAAACAGGCACTCCCATTTATAGTTGATGGCTGTGTAAGTATAAGAATTATTTAACACTTATTATAATTCCTAGTTCTGTCTGGTAGACCATATGCTTGGAAATACAATCTTTTGCTATATTAATATTATATTTGGATAGATCTTAAATTTTTTAACTCATTTCAGAAAATAGTAACCCATTCAAGATCAAGGGTTGTACTTCAAGCTATGATAGAAGCTGCTAAAGCCAATAAAAGGTTCCAAGTATATGTCACAATATCGAGTCCGGATAATAGTGGGTATGTGATACTAAAGTTTGTGATATATCACACAGATTATCCAAAAAAACCTTATTAAATTATTTAAAATGTTTTATGTTAGTACAGTTATACCCCGCTTAACGCGACCCCGTTTTGCGTGGTTTCACTATAACGCGATTTTCAAAAATTTATTCAGGTTGGGACATTGCAGAGTATAGACAATAATGATGACCGTGTCTTGAACGTGTGTCAAACGATTAAAAACAGTGTTTGGTGTTATGAACGTATTTTAGAAGAACGTAAACAAAACGCTACCCAAAAGACAATACATGTATTTTTTCGTAAAAAATAGGAGTACCTATGTATTGTATAGTGTTCTTAGAATTAAAGTGATTGATTAAAATGATTTTTATATTTGTGTATTAAATTTTGACTGTGTTTAATCATAAACCTCGATATACGCGAATTTCAGTTAACGCGATTTTCTTCGAAACGTATCCCTCGCGTAAAGCAGGGTATTACTGTATAAATACGCAATTTTCGCAATTACGCAACATTCAATATCTATGAATTATTCTTTATGAGTAATGAATATGTTAAGAAGAATTTTTTTTTATAAAATTCCAGTATTCGTATGCACAAAGAATTGGAAGCCGCTGGAATAGATGCTACATTAATCCTTGACGCGTCTTTGGGATATATTCTGGAACATGCAGACCTTGTGATGCTGGGAGCAGAGGGCGTTACTGAGAGTGGAGGCATTATTAATAAGGTATAAACAAAATTATATCAATTAATACACTTAACATAAGAAATAATGTCAAATTGCTTGAGATATGTCCTTTAAAAATAAACTCTGTAGTCAAAAAATATATAAAAATAAGGATAACTTCAATGAAGTGACATATCTGAATTTTACATTATTAGTTGTTTATAATAAGACCTGATTTATTTAATTTTTCCTTGTACCTATTGCTTTAGAATCGATTTTATTCATATTTTTTGTATTATTTTTCAGATCGGTACATACGGTTTAGCAATGGCAGCGATGGAACTCAAAAAACCGGTTTACGTTTTGACGGAAAGTTTTAAATTCTCAAGAATATATCCTTTGAATCAACGAGACTTGCCGAATGAGTTCAAATATTTATCTAGTGTGTTAAAATCTGGTGATTTATCAAAACAACACCCTCTAGTTGACTACACGCCCCCAGCTTATATAACATTACTTTTTACTGACCTTGGACTATTAACTCCATCAGCCGTTAGTGACGAGCTCATCAAATTGTATTTGTAAATTGTAGAATAAAATAAAAATAAAAAAATATTTAAATAATTTGGTAGTATTATATATTTTTTGCAACACCCCTAAATTGATACCTTAAAATTTTGCTTATACAGTTTTTTTTATCAATCTTATTTATTTTCATCTTTAATAGTATATTTTTATTTATTATTTTAATCTTTATTATTATGTATGTATTGTAATCAATACATAAAATGTTGTTGTGTTAAATTTAGTGAAATAATTTTTTTGATTGTCGTAGATTAATTTAATATGTGTATATCAGTTTAAACGAATTATTCTTTAAACAGTGATAATATTTTTTTATTCAAAACAGTTAATTTTGAGTGTAAATTAGTCCTTTAGCTGATCTTATAAAACTATAAAAGTGCATTACTACAAAACTAAATACTTAAGTTTAGTTTATTAACTATTCATAAAATTTAGAAGATGTGAACTTCTAAAGAGCTGTCTAATTGGTCCCTATTTAATGACATATTTTCATAAGATTGTTAAAAAAGGAAACACATTAATGAAAAGTAATTTTTATCTGGCACTTTTAATGATATAATATGAGAGTAATATTTACAATAATGTTAAAAAAACTGAATATCATCTCACTTTAAATAACAATTGCTTCATTTAAAATTAATTATGAACTAGGCAAGATAAAATACAAAATAAATGGAAGCACAGAGTATATCACCTTAAAAATGTTTTATATATAAAAAAAAAAAGTTGACAGTTATAATCTGTACTTATGGTCATTAATATAATGTTAAATTGAAATGTGTATATATCACTATTTCATCTGAAAAGTTGCTTTATTAAAATTATATAATACAAAACAGAAATACTTCTAAGAATACTTTATTTTGAAGTAATCTTAAAGTCCATTGTGCTTTAATAGACACATCTATTTAATACATTAATAAAAAAAATTCGTTGATATTTTATTACAAAAATAAAATACTGAAATAGCTCTCGCACACAAATGATTTATTAAGCCAATGCTTGGAAAATATATCTTGATCACTAAGGCCATTTCACATCCTAAAAAAGTATTACTCAAGAGATCAACACTTCATTTACAGTTTACACCAATACAAATTTATAAATTTCCATTGCTTTTTCTACATTATAATTTCATAATTCACATATTTAAGATCAGATATAAAAATAAAAAATCATATTTCTATCAATACTATCATTTTATAATAATTTTAATTTAATGATAATATACAAGAAAAAAAAATAAGAATCAACTAAAATTATTTTAAATCATAGCTTAATAATACATGCAACACTAAATGGAAGACAAACCATACATACATAATATACACAGTCGATCATAAAGTCGACAAATATCATGTAGGCTAAAACTTTATTTATATAATATTTTTCGTAAAAACCAATATTTTTAATTTTATTTAAACTAAAAATCGAATATTTAGTGCTGCTATCAAGATAAGATTCAATTAAAATATTTGAATAACATAGATCTTGCAGCCCTATTCGTAAATTATTAAAAAACAAAAGATACCACAGTTGTTATAAATATTTAATTCGAGACTTTATTGGTTTCAAAATTTAATATTTGCATAATATTTTAGACCAATACGAAAATTATTGAATAAATTTTGACCAATGAGAGCCGTCCGCTTCAATAAAATTATCAAACTTCAATATATTTGGACAAATGGTGAGTCATTTTTATTCCCCTCATCTGTTATAAATGTTATCTATGAGCGTGTATATCTGATGGAAGTGCGGTCTTTTCTCCGGTTCGTATTCCCAACAACGCAGCATCAGTGCGTAGACATCTTCGGAACAACCTTCTGGTGCCGGCATGCGGTAACCTAAAAAACATACCTAACATTAGTTACTGACTATAAGAAAAAGGTCATATCGACATATACTAATGCACATGCCGTACGTGTATAATCTGCAGTAAATTTTTTGGTTTGAAAAGAGTGAAAGAGATGGTCTATGCTTTCGGTCTAGCACTATCTCTTTCCTCATAGATGATTCTTGTATACTCGAGTAATGAGTTAAATTTGAGAGAGATAAGGATAGACCGAAACTTCGTTTTCTCTCTTTCTTTCGGAGTGCCACAATTCTCATCTGTAAGGCATGTATAGAGCAATAAGCACTAAAGAAGTTAGGACAAATTTTCTACATATACTAACCATTATCAATTTTCTCTCTCGCCCGTGAATTGCTCATCCCAGCGTAAGGCGTGTCTCCCTTCGAGAAGATCTCCCACATGAGGACACCGTAGCTCCACACGTCACAAAGTGATGTATATTTACCTGTTGTTAACATATAAATGCATTACTGAAGTAAACATAATGATTAATTGAAATGCAAAAATAAACGTTTTTAGAAATTAATCCCATCAACAGCAAAATCCAAGAAGTTAAATTGACTATTAATCAGCCTATCAGAGCCCACTGCTGAGCAAAGGCCTCATCTCATATTTAGAAGGTTTGATCATTAATCACTACGCTTGCTCAAGTCGGGTTGGTGATTTCAAATTTACTAATTATATTAATGTAGTTTCATAGAAATCTGTTCACTAAATACAGTTACATTCATTACCAATAAAATTTCCTACATAGATCTTATATAGTATGATATATAGTTACCAAAATTAAGCGCTTCTGGCGCAGTCCACTTGATAGGTATTTGTTTCATTCCCCCGGACACAATATACTCTTCTTCCTCTCTCGACATGCCGAAGTCAGATATCTTCACTATATTATCGTCTCCCACTAAACAGTTCCTCGCTGCTAAGTCTCTGTGGATGCAGTTCTTGGACTCCAGGTACCTCATACCAGCGGCCGCGTCTCTACACATGGCTAGAAGCGATCTGAAGCTCAGGTTTGACGCTCGAGTACGAAGAAACGTCAAGAGTGATCCGCCTAGAATAAAATATGTTATATGAAGAGTAGACTATACATATATAATCAAGTTAATTATTATTAGTGTATAGATAGCTCCTGTGTAAGGGCTAATGTACAAAATGAAAATTCATCAGTACAGGAATTTAAAATTTGATTTCAACGTATCTTGTACATGCGACAACTGATGCTGTTGGAATTTTGCATAGCAACTATGATATACATACGTCATTTAAGCTTGATAAACTTTTTCTTAAACCTACTCGTTGTTTAAATAATGTATATAAGCCCTTGTTCGTTAAAAAGTGTGTTACTTATGCCCTTTTATTGCAATAAAAAAGAAGTCTTCTCAGTCTCTTTTCTCAGTATTATGAAGTTGTTGAAAGCAAAAACATTAAAATGGCTTAATTGCTACATTGACGAAAATACATAGCAGCCATCGATATATATGATATATACATGTGTGTATGTGTGTGTGTGCGTGTGTTTGACCTCACCTGACACGAGTTCCATAACAATCATAATGGGTTGTTTCTGAACAGCTATACCGATGAGTCTCACTATATTAGGGTGTTGGTATTGTTTTAGTATTCTACCCTCCTGTAGGAAGGTCCGCTTCTGTTCTTCTGGCAGAGCTACCCGACACGTCTTCACGGCCACCTCCTGGCCTGTGGTTTTCAGGCGAGCTTTGTACACGTCGCCAAAGTTACCCTGTAATTTATATAGATGTCATGTTAATAATAATCTGTTAGCAGATAACATAAGACATATTTGTGTTCCATTATAAATCAATGACTAATAGTATTTTGGACTTTTACTACCTAGTTATAGTGAATAAGATTAGTACCTGACATAACATGATTCTTCAATAAAACTTCTATAAACTTATATATATATATATTGTTATAAAATTCTATATATGCATTGTTGTAAATAAATTGTAATAATCTCATTTATTAGTCTTTTTGTAGGACAATTATTGTTTTATAGATGTTGTTAGATGTATGGACTTATGTATACATTAAATAAATAACAGTCATCTCTCATCAATTGGTCTCAAAGTACGATCTTTTTAGTAAAACACAACATTTTGGTTCTATATATGTTCTCATATATACACATACCCGTCCTATCTTATCCAACAGTTGCACGTGATCGTTATTTAACTCCCAAGTCTCTCTAGGTACGGCTCGTCTCAGTAAAGCCCCTGACCGAGCCGTCACAGGCACGCCTGACGCTCTCTGCCACGCGACCAGCTCGGCAACCGATGGAAACGCAGCGCCCTCGAAACGATAGTGACCCTGAACATAATACATTAATAGGTTTAGGTTTAAAGAAGTTCATTTCCAAAAAGAACAAAGTTCGCTTTCAAAGGAAATTTTAAAAACTATAACTACAATTAAAATTACAAATAATAAACAGTATGTAGTGATATTAAACAAGATCAGTGAAATCTTCTGATATATGGATTCTTAATCGTTTTTTAAATATATTTAGAGATTTTGAATTGACAACACTTAGAGGCAAAGAGATTAATTACTTAATATGATTATTAAAACTAAGTTTTAAGGATTTTATTGCGCGTTTTTATTTTAAATGTACATTTTAATCTCGTCTGCCAGTGATCACGTTTGTTGTGAGACCGAAATGTAGGGAGTATGTAGTTAAAATAACAAAAAACTTTCAATTTTATTTAAATGTATACAAGCTTATTCCTATATATCATCATACTTAGTAGTTGCAGTTATATCAGATAAAATAAAGTTTAAATGTCAAGGTGGGGTAGTCAGAAAAGGACCGACCGGAATAAGATTTAGGCAAGACGAGAGCTTCGTTAGAGAAAAGAGTGGTTAAATATATAAAAATGAGAATTGTTATGTAGAATAAACATTTCTTTTCATTTTCAATTTAAATAAGTTTAGTGTGAGTTTTTTGTACGTTTATTTAAAATTGAGATTGTAAGCAAAAATGTAAAAATGATAAATATTCTCATTAATTCATAGCAAAATTGTTTAATACTATCCTATTTGTAAATTCAATAAATATAAAGAGATATCCTACTATAAAAACAAAATTAATATTGTTCTTAATTACATTATTCTATTGCACAACAATAATAAAGGAATAATAGATATAAACTATATGTAGATGTTTTGTAATAAATAATTTATTTAATAATCCATAACAAAGATAGATATATATAGATATCTCACCTCCGGCGTGGTCTGTACTATGAAGTGTTTGTGTTGTCCCCAGCATACTGACAACACTAGTTGTCGCGCGTGGTTCCTCGTCGTTTCTCGTACTAAATAATCTCCATCTGCCCTCAACAGACGGACCACCTCCTCCCGAGGCAGTACTCCATGAAACCACTCCTGGTCAACCAGGGATCGTTCTGTCTCACTCACACTCACCTGAAAAACCACATAACTATTGAATATATATCGTATTTTTAACCTAAGTGACACATTCATGCGTAGGCAAATGCTTATTCGTCACATCAATCTAGAATTATATTCCATAAAATAATCTAAAATGTAATTTTTGGTTACTTTTTATTAGATATGTTATTGTAAATCCACACGTAAATCGATTATTTTATTAACCCTTAAATGCGCGAATTTTGTAATCGTTTATAAATATATTATTCTAATCATATTAGGATCTATAGAGCAAAGGAAAAATGGTTAAAAATATATAGTATTGATATAAAGCTACTAAAAATACAAAAAAGTGTATGTTGCATATGTGCAACAGTGCAGTCCCTCTATAAAAATAAAAACAACAAAAAAAAAAATCCCAAAAAATAAATATAATAATAAAAAACAAAAAAAAAAAAATAATAAAAACATAAAAATCATAAATAAAAAAACAAATTAAAAAACAAAACACAAAAAAAAAAAAATATAAAAAATAATAACCAAAAAAAAAAAAACAAAAACAAAAAAAAAAATAAAAAAAAATAAAAAAAAATAAAAAAAAAAAATAACAAACTAATAAAAAAAACCCAAAAAAAAAATAATTAATATAAATAAAAAAAATACAAAATACAAATCAAAAAAAAAACAAATAAAAAATATAAAACAACATAAACTATAAAAAAAACAATATCTAACATCAAAAAAATAAAACAAAAAAAAAAAAAAAAAGAAACGCAGTCATCGAATTATGCTATGTATGGAAAGAATGAGGTCATCAATAACAAACTCAAAATAGATACAAATTCAAAGTTCTTTTTTATTCACGGTGAAATTTATAAAAACAATTATTGTCTGTTGTAACATAAGTTTACTCTACATTTTTCACAATAACTGAATGTATATCCCTTACAATTAGGGTATTTACATCTGGCCCGATCCCCCAATTTTTGTCAGTGATATATTGTGTCTTGTCGGATATCTTTCGGAGGCATAGTTTGAGCTGGTCCACACTTCTTTTTTAGTTGAAATTCAGCTTCTAAAGATGAACTGCTTGGGCGACCCCTTTTGGTACCATTTTCTTTTTGGCCAAGATTGCATAAGGTACGGGCCAGCTCAAGTCTGTAATTGCACAGATTCAATGGTTTTATGGAAGATTTGTTCAGTTTCAGAGATTTCTTGTACAATAGCCACGAATTTACGACTGTAACGTCCAGAAGATGGAAAAACAAGCGATTTGTCCACGTTCTGCTTTTGCGAGTAACATGGTACCTTCCGATAAAACTATCAAGGAGATCCACTCCTCCCATGTGGGTATTGTAGTCCTTTATCACATTGGGGCAATATATTGGAATCCGCTGTTTCGCCGTTTTGTCATACCTCATAATTGTAGTCACAGGCAAGGCTCCAGTGTAGGTTGACATCAAAGTCACAGGCTTATTGTCTTTCCATAAAACAGCGCTAATGTTGATACCATCTACATTGGCAACCTGTTCCTCATAGTATCCTCTTGGTACTGTTCGTTTCATCAGAGTTTTCTTATCCGGAAGCTTGTTATTAGGTATGCGATTCACCTGTATACTTCCTAAGCAATATATTCGTTCTTTTGCAAAGTAAGTGAGCAATGGCACCGATGTGTAATAGTTGTCGAAATAAATAATGTGGTTGACACGTCTTGGAACAATCCGAGTTAGACGCAGAACGGTATTACCAGTTGGTCTCAAATCTTCATCACAATATTCTAAATCCGCTAATAACTGGCGATTATTCTCATAGTAAACTTCTTCATCTTGCTCTTCTTCTTCTGATAATTCCAAGTCATCCTCGGACAGATCCAGAGTTTGCAGGTATTCTTCGATGTCTCAGTTATTCAGCAATCTCGGCATGCTGTAAAAAGGCAAACAAAATTAGGTAAATGTTTCTAAATACATCACTACTGATCAAGTAAAAATTCAAATTTGTTTGAACGTAAATGCGCAATGTTGCACATACGACACAAACAGTTTGTTTGAAAAAAAACTTATCAAACTTTTGAATATATGGAAAATTATTATTTTCTGGTCTTTTTGATTAGTTATATTAGTGAAATATAAAAAAACCAAACACACTTACCTTCGAAATTCGCATAAAAAACGACATAACACTACACGCAAATTACTTTTTACAAATTCGCGCTCCCGCGATTTTTAAATTAAAAAATTATGAAGTTTAAATTTTTGAAAATGAACCGTCACGTTAAATGTCAAAACGTTCATATATTTTTCTATAATCTATGGCAGATTACGTTCAGAAACGTGTACATTAACTTGTCAAATTATTTTAATTTTCGGTTCGTTGCAGATATGCAACAAGGCGAATTTAAGGGTTAATTTAAATACAACACTTATATTGTCATATATTTTTGTGGTTCAACACATTATCATGCATTAAGCTGAGCGCGTCAATGTCTCATAAACGCATTACGTCGTGTTTTTCCTGTAACTGCTTCAAACGTTTCTTCCTGCGAGGTAGCGGCACCGGCGGCAACAGATCCGCACTAGTGATGTACATCGAGAACGGATCCATTATACAACACTAACCTATTTACATGGTCCGTATATAAATGTGATAATAATCGTGAACCCGAGCCACACGCCGAAATCTCACAAACAACTGATATCTGGAACGTCTCAAGCGACCTCACCTTGATTTTGAAATTGGTTTTTAGTACAAACTCGTGCTATTTTAATGTTATATGAAAGCGCGTTCCGGTGCGAAGTTCGCGCGGTGCTTCTAAAATAGATCATCTAACGTGCTTCTCTCGATACGTGTGCATGCAAATCGTTAGATCGCAACTCACCACAGTGTTAACACATTTACAGACTCGAGTTTTCTTTCGTTTTTTTATTGTCTGAACTCTACATTGCACATAGACATCCAAACGCTTGCGGAAACGCCTTTTTAGTATCACACGCTGCTTGCGGATGGTTCGCAAGAGCTTTACCGAGTCTGAAGGGCCCTCGCTGCTACTGCGGAACGTCTTTGGAGGTAGCGCGGGGCTGGAGGGGGCGGACTTGCGTCGGAAGGGACGCGTGAATAGACGAAAGAACGGTTTTGGTGGGACTATAGAGTGGAGATGCAACTTTAACGTGTCCATCGACGCTTTCGAGCCGAGGGACGAACGGTCCTGATAAACCAATGTCCAATATAAATGATAAATATAAAAAATAATAAAATATATATAACTTTAAAATACACACTCTCAGTGGCAATATATAATTCTTCTCAAAAAAAAAATACCCTGATGGACCAGATTGTCTTATCACATACGGTATCTTAAGTGCCATTAAACTCTCAAATATCTTTGCATTCGTCCACACATGAGACGTTCTACTGAACTCCACATCGTATTGCACTCAGTAGCCTGACATATGGTCTCTCAAACTGTACAGTATTCTACTCACGGCATACTAAGAGCCATTAAATACCCTATGATTCATCCACAGACAAGTCGTTCTACTGTAATCCACATCCTATTCTACTCAGTAACATGTAATATAGGCTAAGCTATACTGTATTCTACTCATGGCATCCTTAGAGCCATTAAATACTTCAGCATTCGTCCCCACACGAGACGGTCTACTATACCCCACATCTTGCTCTACTCAGTAACATGAAATATAGTTTCTAAACTTATCGGTATTCTACTCACGTCATCACATGAGGCTTTCTACTATACAGTATATTACATCCTATTCTACTCAGTAGCATTTCGTATAGTCTGTAAACTGTACAGTATTCTGCTCACGGCGTCGTAAAAGCCATTATATACCTATGCATTCGTCCACACATGAGACGTTCTACTTTATAGTATACTACATCCTATTCTACTCAGTAACCTGTCATATACTAAACTGTATAGTATTCTACTTACGGCTTCCTAATAACAATTTAATACCTTAGCATTCGTCCCCACATGAGACGGTCTACTATACCCCACATCTTGTTTTACTCACTAACATGACATATAGTTTCTAAGTTGTACGGTATTCTACTCACGTCATCACATGAGGGGTTCTACTATACAGTATACTCTACATAGTATTCTACTCAGTATCTTAGCTGTGATATTCTACTAACCGGTACATCAGGCTCTAAACAGTCCACGCCTACAGTATCCGCGGATAGGTCGGGACAACCACTAGGAGCTTCTTCACAGCCAAGCTCAGCCAACGCCGCTCGTATCATTTCCGCTTGCTTCGCGCACTTCCGTTCAGAAACACGAAGTTCCAGAAGCTTCATTGGCTCCGTCGGTGGAGGGGAATATCTGCAATAAAATTTTAATTCAATAAGAATTACATATTTGATGGAAAAAGAGCGTCTGGAACAAGTAGTCGACTCATTGCTTGGATGCAAAAAACATTTCGAAGTTCTATATGACAAATATTGTAATAAATTGCTATAGTTCGTGTATTAGAAGTAATGATAGTATGGATACCTCAAATTTAGTTTGTTGTTGGCAACAAAGGCATAAATTGTTTATAAGCGACCATTATAATGAATTTTATAACTTTGATATTAAGAAAGGAAATGCCAGCATTCCAACCTTTTGTATACGGACATGACCTTTTATTTTATACTATGTATTCTAATAATAATATTATTCGACAAGTAAATAATTACGAGCTCACCTATCGATGCCATTAACCCCATTGATTCCTGTGTTATTATTTTTACAGACTCCATTGCCAATAATCTCAGGTCCTTGAAGCGTGGTCTGTTTCTCTCTGTTTTCTTGTAGTATATTCTCGAGTTCTGTTAATTTTTCCTTCAGCCATTCCACAGTAAGATTGTCTACCGTTAGCTGGTTCGGTTGCAGCTTACCGCTGGTGTCTTCTACTAGACTTTCATCGAAATTGAAAGTTATTGGCATCTGTGGTGGTGATCTGCGAGAATTATTATACTGTATTGTTTAGGAATGAACCAGAGATGACGTCATAACTTGAAGATTATCACCTGAATGTGGTGAGATGGAGAAGGCTTCAGAAGTTATGTGAGGTCATTATATGATGGACTGAAATACTTTACGTATGCAATTACTGTTCGTGAGACTTTGTTTGCGTGTTCGTGCATTAAATTGAGAGTTATGTGACGTCACATCAAGGGATAGACCCCTAAGATGCGGCGGGGGGAGGGGGATTAAAAAGATCCTTCAATTATTATGACGCTATGTATTATGGTCTCTTATTTGTACATAGCTTACATATTTTGTTATAAGATTTCAAGAAAAAGATGTTTCTATACTAGATTTTACACCATAATATTTTTATATGTATTTGAGTATCAACAAATATAATAATATTTTCGTGTTAATAATATTTTAAACGTTACTTAAAAACACTTTAAAAAGGGAGTTAGTTAAATTATAACTATACTCTATAGTTACTTTTTATAGTAGTCTCTTAATAGTGTCCAAATTTTTGAAATCTGATTTTAAACAATAAAGTTTTCTCACTGCTCTTTGAAAAATCGTTTTTCTATATGTACATAGTATCTTACTTGTACTTTTCTATGAACTCCTTGTATTCCTCGTGCGGCCTCAGGTTCTGTACAACTGACTCCACCTTGTTCTGGATCTCTTTAAACTTTTCTGACGTGAAGTCAGCCCTTTGAACTACCTCCAGCAGAATACCTTTCCTGAAAATAATTATTTAATTAGAACAAAAATCAGAGAAATATAATATATAGTAAAATATCTTTAATAAATCTCCATAAAGATTTGTTTAATATTAAATCGTTTTGATGTTCAGCAATAAGCAAAAATTACCGAAAATCATCATTACTTAAGAATTGTTTTTTGAAACTTTACGAATTATTTGAAGGAAAAGAAAATACTATCTAGATACATTATTTTCTCTTATTCCCATATATAACTTCTGTATTATTTAACAGGCATATATGTACATAGACTTTCCATAGAAATAAAGTTGCCAAGACACATGACGTCATAGTACAACACTCGTCTTGCTAAAGTATTGGATTTATATGCACCTAATTTTGTATTTTACATGACGTTTTGTTAAATAATTTATTGTTTTTCATTATTTTCTCCACAATATAATCTTAATGATACGCTGCTTTTATTTCAAATCTTCTGCTCTATAGCGTTTTATAAATATATTTTTTTATGTAAATTTAAACTTAACATAAGTTTTCATTGTATTTTAGTTTTGGGACATTTTTAATAGAATTGTATCATAAAATTTATGTCGGAAATAGTATCGCAATTTATTACCAGAAATAATCTATACAGATTTTATTTCTCAAAAGAAAGAACGAATAGATGAACTTCAAAAATGTTGAACGTTCTACAGTTATTGAAAATATTAAAAAATGAAATAAATCATTCCATTTTTAAACGATATTAAATAATCGTATAGTAATCACAATATAAATTTATAATTAAATCAAATACGAAACTTAATTAAAATTCTCGTTACATTTCTTAATTCGTATCATAATTCAATAATAAATATAGATGCATTATGAGTACAAGACATCACTTTAGTTCTCTGAATCGCTCGAATCCTGTCCAGACAGCTTTTAACAAAGCTAGCAACCTTGAACAATATTGGATTACTTGTCAAAGGTGCCCTTCTAAAACATTAGCTGTATCCTTAAAACTAATAATGCTATGACGTACGTCATACTTCTATACTATTATTTGCTGTGTAAATTTAAATCTCTTAAGGAATATAATATTAAAACATTTCATAAAGCTCTTGTATATAATTAAATGAATGGTTTATACTTATTTTTTATGTTCAATGATATGTCAACAATTTGTAAACTAAGAACATGATATTTTCGATTTATTTGTCTATACAAATAACTCGAAAATTTAACTCGAACTCGATAATTAAAGGTTCTATAACCTCACCATGAGGGCGCCTTTTCTTTATATTCGTCAATGATTTTACTTTATTTTTATATAGCAGCGATTAGTAATATATTTAGATACTTTTTGTATAGAATCTCACCATGAAGACGCCGTAGCTTCTCCCAGTCGTCTCTGCTGGTCTAAAAGAGCTGGTAGTGATGATGTTCTCAGAGCTCGCTCACATTCAGTAGCCTCTGCCAACAGTAACACATACTCGTTGTGTGCTCTATGCAGCCTGCGACACGCCTTACCATATTTGTCACGGGTTTCATCCAATTTACGACCACCACGGCTCGTTGGACCTGTAATAATCCACTAATATTACTTCTCTAAAAACGGATGTCCTTTCAAACGTTAACACAATAATGAACAGGTGATATATTATAAATAAAATGCGTACGAGGTCAATGACATCGCATCATTGATGAAGCAGCGCACGCATGAATGCACGCAATTCTTATAAGCCATAACCACTGGATACTGATATATTAAGATGGTGTTTTAAAATAACTTGCATGTATCGATGCTTGAGGTTGCATATTGATTGAAATATATGCGAAATTATACCGGCGCCGACGGAGTACTGGGAGGGAGGTCTGCTGATACCGAGTTAATGTATGACGATTAGCTACTTCAATGTGGGATGCATTAGGGTGATTTAATAAGGCGCCAACAATAAAGATATTATTAATAAATTTGGAGATTGGTTTCGGAATGTTATAGTTAATTGGGTAAATCATGTTTAATCAAATCACTAAAATATTATATCTCTGTTTTTATTTATATTTTAGCGTACGGATGGTTCTCAATGAAATTTCTTTGTAGTATATAAAAGTTTTGAAACACGACCTGAGCTTTTACAACTGATATTCAAAATTGAAATATGCATAGGATTAAATATTAACAAGACATTAGGGAAGCCAACTAAATTATAAATTTGCAACAGTGTAAAAAATGTCTTACAAGTTACACCTCAAACGGTTAATGAAATATTTTTTTATCTTCGATGTAACAACCCTAACTATTCGGATGAAACACAAATTCAAATCATACAATTATTAGTGAATCTTTATGCTAGTGTTAGGAACGTAAACATTAACCTAGCGCGTTATGTTCACGTGTTCGTATGACCGGTACGTGGGCGTTGTTTACACACAATGAAAACGAATTGCGAATCAGACGTGAAACAAAACGGTCAAAATCTGTTAATGGAAACGGTGAATGGACTAGCACGTGATGTACGAAGTATAAAACTTGTTTTTTTATTTTCAACTAGAAGACCTGGCGAACTTCGTATCGACCCATTATCAAGAAATATCTATTACGTTGTTTTATTTATATTTTTGGAGTTTACCTGTAAGCCATAAATCTCCATGTTCTGAAGTGCGACAGAATGATTGACATATTAGTTAGTTGTCAAATCTAACGTCAAAAAAAATGTTTGTATGGGAAATAGAAAAGGGCTGTTTTTATGGTTTTCCCAGTAATGAATCAATTTTTTTCAGCTTTTATACCATCCCTGAACCTCCACGAACATTTCAAGACTAAGATAAGATAAATCCGTTCAGCTGTTCTCGAGTTTTAGCGAGACTAAGGAACAGCAATCCATTTTTATATATATAGAAGATAGAAGATTATCATTATTAAACTCTTTAGAGGAATTGTTAGAATATGATTTAAATTTCTATTTTTGGATTACCGTAACTTTTTTTAGAAAAGAGGATAATGCATGCGTTTAAAATATAAATGTAAATTATGCACTAATAAGGTTTCATTTCTTTTTTTTTAATTAAAAATAAGCAAAAGGATGGCAGTCACGATTAAAATTTTAAATCATACTTACACTTTAGATAATTTTCTTCGAATTTAGCCCTCATTTGTTTGTATGACTCCAAACATTTTTGATATTCACTTTGTTTCCTTTGTACTTCCTCTGAGAGCTAGAAAAGAAAAAGGGAATAGGATTAGAAATATTAAACGTAATTACATGTATTACAAAAACTTTAAGGATATTGCCTAAGCTAAACTTATAACACTTGCATTTAAAAGTGTATATAAGTTATATATTAGTTAAAAAGTGTATATTTTTTTAACTTCGAAGACAAATATTTGATTTTTTATCGATGAAATAAACAAAACAATTTTTTTACAACAATTATGTGGATATTAGAAAACACCAAAAATCAATCAATTCGTAGAATTTTTTAATTAAAAGTAATACATACATGTACGTATTTTTAATATAATATTTCTATCCATTTTTTTATATAAAAGTGTAATTTAACTTCTAAATGAAAAGAAATACTAATAGGTCTGAGTGATATATACTGAATGTTTGCGTAAATAAACACGCCTAATACGTTAACGAGATATAAACTGCATCCGCAAACTCACGAGAAATGTCGAACACGAACGAAATGACGTAAATATTACTAGTATAGACGGTTTCCGTACGCAGCTTTGATTACGCAAATACATTTCAAGGAAAAAATTATTTACTAAACGGTAAAATAACTAAATCATTTATGCAATTACGTGCAGACTTCAAATAGAATGTATATATGTTCTTTTTTTTTAATTCATTTGCCATTATTTGGAGTAATTTACAAAAAAAGTCTTATATGGCATAATAAGTTCAATGCACATTAAAATAATATTAAAACTAGCTTGAGAAACAATAGCTTTAATATTTGTAAGACTTATAAGGAACAAAATATTTAAAGTACTACATACTACTTCGATATTATTATGTGCGACGATTTATGAATAAAAACTGAAAAGATCTCTGTATTATGACGGTGCAAATTCGTGGTTGAGGTACTTACTTGTAGTGTTATAAAAATACATATAAATGTTATAATATTATTGCTTTAATAATGATGTACATCTAATTATAATTCTATAATTTGAAACTAGAATAACAAGATCAACTGACAGACATTCTCATCTCGTCTGCCTGTGATCACGGGTGCTTCAAAGTAACTGAAATATCCGGAGTATACAGTCCAAACTAATAAAAAACGCGTAGTACATTCGAAAATATTAGCTCTATTTAAATAGATTTTCAGATTGGAATCTTTAAAATATTATTATCAATGTATTCTTCCTGGCAATTTCCCAGCTTAAGCCAGGGTTTGCTTTACATGTTGTAAATATTTTTGGCTAATTGTTTTTACGACCGGCAACCTGCCTGACATCAACCCTCTTTGGGAATGATCAATGTATTAATCAATATACAAATCAACGAGCTGTAAGCAATCAATATTAAAATTCTCACGGCCTCTAGTCAGTTATAATTAAACTGAGTTTACACTAAAGTCGTTAACCTGGTTCATGCGCTGGAAAATACTAAGTGAAAACTGCACTACAAATTGAATCATAAACTAATATATAATACACTTATATACTTCTATATGTAAATAAACTAAATCAATGAAGTATACCCAAAAAAAGAGTTAGTTGTTCTTATAAAACTGTCTAGTTTAATTATATAAATTAATTAATTTCGCGCTAAGTCAATAAGAATAATTTTTTATTTTTTTTTCCTGTCCTGATCCCACTTTATATAGGGCACAACATGTCTTTCTCGTCCACAGAACATGTTGTAAATAGTTTCGGCTAATTGTTTTTACGACTGCCTGACATCAACCCTCTTTTGGGAATGCATTAAGTCAATAAAATTAATGTACATAAAATTATTCAAAACATATCCATACATTTCTTTATAAGCATACAACTTTCAATAAACTTTCTATTTTTAATATGTTCATGATATATGTATTTCGTATGTTATTTATATAATCGATATATTTTATATATGATATGTAGACAGCCTTGGTAGTTAGATCGTTACCGGAAACATTTTAAATAGCGTTCTCAAGTGTTGCGTCACCGTGACAGAGGTTAACGTCTAGATTTTAATAACTACCCACATAGAAACTTTGCTTTTACATTTGGTTCCTAAAAAACTGTATCAAGCAAAAAACTATTAAATTAAAGGAGATATAAATTTTATATGAAATTTCTTTTGTTTATAATTAAGAAATATCAAATAATATACCTTTTTACAAAAAGGAAATTTATGCATTGGAGTAAGTTTTTGCAAACAAATGCCAGAGAGAAGAGAAACTTCTTTTGAAGTTGAATAAAAATTTATCATAGAAAACCAGTGCAGTCCAAATATACATATTTGTTAAAACTGAGTGTTATTTGGATTTGGATGGTGAAGCACCAAAAAAAAAACACTTATTCAATAAAAGAAGGAATTGTTCTTATAGTTCCATAAACGCGTTATTGGCTTATTGTTTAATTTAATTTGTTTAACGGTATATATTGTATTTCCTAAAGGACTTTTGTCATATCAGTGATAAGGCTTTGACATAATCCTTACAATAGATAAGTGCCTATCAAACTTTAATAACTTCATTTCCATTGCCGTCTTTAGAAAGTGCTTTTTTAAAATAGAAAGAGTATTTTTCCGTTGTCTAATAGACTATTCAATTTAAGTAATTAATATTCATTTATTTTTAGCAATATATTAAAATTTTTGAATTAGAATTTTAAGTAGAGTTTTATTTTGAAACTTTTTCTGCAATATATGTATATTAACAATTTTGATTACTACCGATTTAGTCGAAACTTTAAGTTTGAGAACTTCTATACGCTTACCAAAAGTTACCATCGTTACTACATAGGTAGCGTTAACGGTTTTTCAGTCATAAATCTTCGCATAATAGTATTAATGTAGAAGGTAGAATATTGAAAGAGAAATTGAATACTTCTTACACGCTGTCTAGTGGTAAGCATACCGGTAAAACACAATGACATAGCAATTGCAAATGGATTTAAAATAATATGCGTGAATGACGATAATTGGACAATCACGCGAAAGCTGCTCTCTCTATAATAACAGCTCATATGAAAACATATGTAAGTATACTTAATATAAAAACAAACAATGAAAATTAAATGTATTTTATAAACTTTATTATTCAGTTCAATGAGAATTTTAAGATTAAAATTTTTATACGACTTACGAGTAAAGCGGTATACTGCACACAAAAGGTAATATTTTTCAGTTTTTTGCCGACCGCAAGTCCACAAAAGTCTTGTAATTCATCGTCTTATTATTCATACAACAAAATTTTTAGTTTTAAATATAAATTTTTTGACTTCACAATACGGACTAAAGAGTCTTATAAAGATAAGAACGTTTTTTTATATATATTTGTCTTGGTATAATAATATTTTTTATAACTTTCTTAGTATTTCTTACTTGTTTACTTTGTAGTTTACATTGCAGTTGAGTTATTTTATTCGTAATAAAATTTTATCGAATACTTTAAGTGGTTTTTTATAAAAGAAAACTTTTAAATATCTTTCTGTGGCTATATGTGAATATTTAGTATTAAATTTAATTAGTTTTTTTTTATATATATTGAATACGAAAACTTTATACATATAACAAAATTGTTTGAATATATTTAATTTATGTCTATGAAGACATTTAATAGACAGCGTGCATATTAAAAATGAAAAGCTAATAAATTTATTATAGAAAGAGAAAGCAAAATTGTGCAAGCCTCGTCTGGTAGAACTTGTCTGACAACATGAGTAGAATCTCGTGGTTTTCCTAACCCACTCTTAAAATCAATTATTTAAAAAAAAACTATTTTTTTTTACCGAAATTATGTTCTTGCACAATATATTCTGCGAATGTCATAAGAAATTAAAATATAAATATATTTCTTTTTGGCATAATTAATATTATTAATTCTTAATTATAACTGTAAAAATACAAAAATATATGTTTATTTAAAAGTTTAGGTAAATATATATATTTTATGTATATATAATATGTTATTTATCTCAATGTTGCCATGTGACCCACATAACCCACATAGCTGATGGCATGCGTTCATCGCTAATCGTCATCGATCATAACATATTATGACATCACCGTGTTATTTAAATACACACAGCTGCTAGTTATTTTAGACATAAAAAATTATTCTAACTATTTTTTCACAAAACTATGTACGCGGTTAAAATATTTATGTACTCAAAGCGGTTGACAAGTGTAAGCAACCGTGTCATTGACCTCTCAACGGGACAAAAAAAATCTGCAATTTGTGGCGAAACTGTAAGCTTGATTATCACAGGTCCCGTTTGTTGACGAGAAATTTTTGGTACTGCACGTGTATTTGAGAATTTTAGTGTATTTTTTTGAACGACATACATTTCGTCGAAATTAAATGTAAAGAATTCTAACATATTATATATGAGTAATTTCCATACATATATTTTTTACGTAGGTATTACTATGTTATAAACCTATGAAATATGGTGACAGACTCAAACAATAAAATCGAGAGTCGACTATAGATTAATATGCAAACTAGAATAATAACCTTGTTTAATTAATTTATTTTATTTTGTACAAATTAATGTATTTTTTCAAAGAACTATAAGTAATTTATTCTCTGTGTAAGCGGCTGTTGGTAAGATCGAAAATAATTTATAATTCTTATAAGATAAAATTCTTTTCCGACCACATATATTTTTCGCTGAAATTTAAGTTGATATACTGTTCATAATACAGACCAAAGACAATAATTTTAAAGCAAAATAATTGCGTTTAGTTTCTTAAGAGTATAAAAATATTAAAATATACATACTACTATTTCTTTTAAATAATAATGATATAATGAGATCTAAGAATATTATTCATTTAAATGAAACTAATATTTTTCGGATGTACTACGCGATAAAAATTATATTATGTTAAAATAATATTTTTATTACGCATTTTACGAGATTTTTTATATCTTTTTTTTCTATGGCTTCATTCGCACTGGAGTCGTGGAATATTTTGCCAATGTCAAAATTTATAATCATTGATAGGTACAGACTATTTAATTGGCTTACGTCATATTTTTGG